TTTTTCTAAAGCTATCTTTCTGATAAGGGGAAGTGTTAGATCCATCTCTCAGTCAATTGTACTCCACACCCTGTGCTTTTTCCGAGACCTGGTTTTACTAACTACTACCTTGGAACCAAAAGACCAGTGGATCTGAGATCAGAAAACCTGGGTATGTCCGTCACTTTGCTGCTCTTTGGTGGGGTCTCAGTTTTCTCAACGAATTTGTCAAAAAACTGTAGTTGTTACCTTAAAGTTCTTCCAGGTCTCAGACTTTTAAGACTTTGTAATATGGCAAAAATTCTGATGTCTTATGGGTAAAGGAAAATCAAGTGTCCTGGATTATCCAAATGCATCATCACTCCATCTCTTAGAAATTGAGAGCTGATGTATTTAAACACCTCATTTAGAAAATGACTACCACCTTAATCTCCTTCCTAGATGCCATCAGCACTGGGAGGGAGCATTTTTTTTGCTTTTGTTCATCTCTTTAAAACTGTTCCTCTATCACTCTCTTTTCTCTTTTTTTTTTGCTTTTTTCCCAGTACTTATGTACAGAGTCACCTTAAGCTAAGGAAACACAACTGAAAAGAAACCAACTTTCTTCTAGACTACAGTTCATCTGAATGTTCTTTCTTGGCTTTTAACGTTTTGAGACAGTCTGCAGCCTCCTCTCCAGAGTAAGGACAGGCCGGTGAGAGGAAGCAGAGACAGAGCTTCCCAGTGGCCCAAGGCTCCCAAGTGAGCATATCCCTTTAGACAATAAAGTTGTCATGCTCTTTATTGTTAAGATTCTTTAAGGAGAAAAAAAATCTCTGCAAATTAGTTGTTCGCATTTGTATCACTCCTTGACCTAACTAGCACATAACTCACTTCATCTGGTGTTCATTTGGTGTTCTACGCAGAGAGCCGGGGAAACAGCCTGGCAAATAACTAGAAAGAACATCCACTCTGATCATGGACCGGGTGTCAAGCAATGTGCAAAGCACTTAACTTTTACTTTTTAATGAGCAAACTAAAACTCAAGTATGTTTTGTAAAGTTGTCCAAGGTCACAGAATTAGGAAGTGGCAGAAGTGGAATTCAAGGCCAGGTCTATCAGATTCCTAAGCCCAACTGTACACAATACTGGGTACAATGACCTCTGTTCCAACTAGGCAATTCCTAGGTCTTGGACATCCTCTAGATATGAATTCTCAAGGGGGGTGATATTGTGTCCAAGGGGGAAATATTGTTTCTCTTAGGGGAAGGTCAGAGGGACCTTACTTTTCAAATGTATAAAACATAGCTATGGCTGGGCACAGTGGCTCACGCCTGTAATTCCAGCACTTTGGGAGGCCAAGGCAGGCGGATCATGAGGTCAAGAGATCGAGACCATCTGGCCAAAATAGTGAAACCCCATCTCTACTAAAAATACAAAAATCAGCTGGGCATGGGGGCACATGCCTGTTGGATTTGTATGTTTTAGTGTTGCTTTTACCTTTTCTTGCTTCCTCAGCCAGTGTTCATGACTCTACAAGGGCTAACTAAACCAGAGTGGTTTCAAGGCAGTAAGAAGGCAGAAGGTGGGCTGAAACATATTCCTGCAAGGGCCATATTTTGCTTGATCTTCAATACTCCTGGCAGGCAAGAATTGCTGGCCACCTGCATTCTTTTTCTTCTGTGACATTTATCTCCTATAGCGTTAGCACCATATTCCCCTTGCTTGGAGCCTCGAGGGGAGTGTATCAGTAAATAGAGATCAGCGTAGATTAAGCTGGACAGAGCAGGAGGACCCAGCCCTCCTTCCCGCAGTGAGCTTCTAGGCTGCAGCAGAACCGAGCTGGAGGAGTGAGAAGACTTGGCACCACCAAGTCGGGCTTGGCATTTTGATTGCTACATGGGAATCCTCATCTGAATATATATGTTTGCAACTTAAACACAGTATATGTTTTTAACCCAGAGCAGATAGGAATCCCTATTTCTATCATGTTTAGGAAAAAAAAAATTACCCTATTTATTTTCACTAAACTCTAAGTTAAGCTTAACCTTCATTTAATATGAAAGGCTGGCAACTAAATCTTGGTGGTATTATTAGTACCTGTGACTGTGTGACCAAGAGAAATCACAGATATTTACAGTTCACGTTAGAGTCTCGTAGATGTCTTGAAATACTGTTCACCTTCATCCCTATGTCATAATCATGGTGGTTTTAAGACCTATCACCAGATCTTGTAGTTTCACGTGCCATTAAAGCAGCAGTAATCCTGCTAGTATCACCAATTTCTAAAAGTATTTTGGAAACAGTCTTTCAATATCATTGGTTTGCTTTATAATACTATATTTTATTTCATTCATTCGAAAACATGATTCTGAGGTGTTCCTGGGCTTCAAACAGGTCTGTGGCATAGAAATCTTAGGTCCCTGATCTAGAGGTATCAGAAAATCATGAGTCTGCTGAAGTGCATATTCATGGAGGAGAAAGTTTACCCCCCCCCTCAAAAAATTATAAAGGAAGGCTGGAATCACTGGACATGCCAGGCACGCAAGTGAATTGATCATGATAACCCAGTCTAATAAAGTGCTATGACTGGCACTGGGGAAGATATGCATGGAAGGGAGGATCTGGCTCAGACTTTGGAGATGGACATAGCTACTGGAAGTGATCTCTGAATTGAGGTGTGCAGGATGTACAGAAGTTGGGTAGGGAAACTCGAGTGGACAGTGGTATTCCAAGCAGAAAGCAAAGCCTAAGTAAAGGGCTGGAGGTGAGGGAGAGCATGTGGTATCTAATAAAGAGTTTCCTATGCCCCAGCGTAGACTTTTGGTTGGAGAAACGTGGGAGGAGGCAGTATGTGGATCTTCCTTTTGCTTACAAGTTTGTTGTCAAACCCCACCAGAATGTAATCTCTTTGACACTCTGTCTTATCCACCGTGTATCTCCGCTGTCTACAATAGTACTCAGGACTAGTACAGTTGGGCTCAGTAAATATTGACTGACTTGGTGAGTGAACAGGCAGGAGTCAGATCATGAAGAGCCTTAGACATCATGTTAAGAAGAGTTTCGATTTTATCTAAATGGTAAAACATCTGTTTCTAAAATGATTGAGCAAGAAGAAATTTGTGGCAAATTAAATAACATTAATTTTACCCCTAAAATCAAACGGGAACTACTTGTAAGACTCTCTTTGAAAAGGTAATTATCCAGCTCTCAAGTTCTACTCCATACCCAGCAATGGGAATATGTGCAAGAAAACTTCGACTAAAAGATATTCGGAAAGCCAGTACCCTAAGGACAATGAGGAGCTCTGTAAATCTTAAGTCAAATGCTGTGAAACATGGCTCATGAACTACAAGTCAGACAGATCACAAGTTAAAGGGCCTACGACTAAATTCTCACCTCTACAAAAAATTAGTATAAATTCACAAATAAATCTTTTATGTGGATGCAGAAAAAATTTCAGGAAAAATTTAAAAAATGCATATTCCTAGAATTTTGCATATGAAAATTTCTTACCCTATTATTTCAAGTTGAAGTATTTTTACATTTTTCTAAGTTTATAGCTATGGAAACATACAAGTTTTCTTTTTAAATTTTAAATCTTGCAAAATAATATGCTTTCCTTGAGATTCATTCCAATCTTGTGGATTTTGGGATGTATCTACAGACAATCTTTCTTTTTAAACAGACTATTTGTCATATTATAAACATAAAGGTCAGTTTCCATTTAGTTAAAGAATTCCATTATCCCACTACCATTTTCACTATCATTTAGATTCAAAATCCCAGTCAGGGCCCAGTATTTTCCTTATTCCTTCCACTACTTGATCCTAGCAGCCGTTAATAAATGGAGATCCTACCCCAATCATGATTCCATTCACACTTTTCCATTCTAATTTTCGGAACCTTATTTCTCTCTCCTTCTTTCTTCCTCTGTTAATCCACCCTACACAATAACCTATCCTATATGATACTCCAACTTTGTGTGCATTGAAACACCAAGAATGTACATGGAAGGTAGTCAATGAATTTATATCAAAGAGAATCTTCTGAAATGTTCTGTCTCCCATGTGACCTGGCATACTATTGGAGTTCTGTTATTCACTGGTGGCAGTACCCAGGGTCTTGAACAAAACCAATGCAGCCAATGGTGCTGCAAAATGTCTGTTTAATAGAGGGCAATCAAAGGGTCAGGCACTATTCAAGCCCTTTACATAGATTAACTCATTTAATTTTCAGAACAACTCCAAAAGAAAAGTACTGATATCCTTCTTATTTTACAAATGAAGAAGCTTGGATACACAGAGGTTAAGTCCCTTGCTCATAATTACCCTACTAGGTCTGAGGCCAGGTTCAAATCCAGGCATGGTGGCCTAAGAGCTCATCCCATGGACATTAAAATATACTGCCTCTTATTTACACTGTCCACCATCATCATGTATGTGTGTCTGTGTGTGTGTGAGGGGGGAGTGTTTGCAGAAACTCTTTGCAACGCCTTTCTTATTTAACCACTTAATTCTTTCCATTCAACAATCAGTACTATTAAAGTATCAAGCACTATACACAACAGAAGGGAAGTAGCAGTAGACAAGGTGACTAAGGGCATGGGGCATCTGTCTATGTAACAAGTATAAGGGCAACAAGGATGCTGACAAATTTTAAAGGTGCTACAGGAGTGAGAGCAGGCAGCCTCAGCCTATCTGGGGTGCATGGGAATACAAAGGTAGAAAGGAGTGAGAATCAGAGAAAAGGTCTAACTCTTCAGAAGACATGAGGTTGGCCAGAGCACTGACATTCTTCCACAAAAGCCTCACTAGTCCTGGCTGTCCTGCCCCAAGCTGGTCTACTGCCGCCCTGTTGGCCAGGATTTGTCTGTGCCACAGCACTGAACACTGAACACCAGGCATGCATTCTTCTCTCCCAACACTCAGCTCGCCATGACCAGAAAAGACAAATGTTTTAGAGGTATGGTTTCAGGCAAACACATCCTAGAATTAAAATTACTTCAGGGATATCTGCAGTAAAGCTGAAGGAAACACTCCAAAGGCCAAAGGAAGCAAGCTTTATTGAATTTACAATGCAGAAAATATTTGTAGTCCTTAGACATTTGCATTGCGATAAAAATTATACTTTATGGTATAATTATTAATGGTTTGAAGAGAAATAAACAGTATAAATGAAATATGGCCCATACAATGAAAATGTAAACCATATAAATCAAAATCATAAAACAATTATTCAATACTCAGAGGCCTACTTAACATATACATATGAAATTTCTTACAGACACATACAATAAAAGCCCACAAAAACCATCACTCTGAAGCCGATCGCTGTACAAATATGAAAATAAATCTTTATCTTTAACCTCAATTTTATCTTCAGCAGGAGGACTGTGCAACTTGGGTTTGGCAAATCACATCAAGTATTAAATAATCAAATGTCACATATGTCATATAAAGCAGCAAGTGAAACAAATTATGAAGATGCATGGGCTAAAAGTTAACAGTGAAAAATATCTCCTTATCCAACATTATTTTCCATAATGAGATTAAAATGTATCAAGATGCATTTAAAAATGGAGTGTAGTATAACTTTGATTTTAAAAGCTCTTAAAGAAAAACAGAGACAGGGTGAATAACTTCCATAGTAATACACAAATGTATCAAGTTAAGTCTAAGGTAAAAACATTAAATATGTTTGTCCTTACTGAAAATGTGCTTTAGATTTGAGAACGCCTTCATAAAATCAAAATGTTGGTAATCACCATGATCTCCCAGCATTGCAGCATACAGAGCTTTAAGTAGCTTCTCTTTAAACATGATTGCTAACCAGAGCTCTAAGTCTCTAATTTGGATTACATTACCAAAGTATTTATCAGGGCTCAAATAGTTAAAGATAATTGGCTTGTCTATCAAAGGCACCGGTGTAATCTCATCAACTTGGGTATACTGACACGACAATCCAGAGCTAAAGACCACAAAAATACTTCTGTATTACAGGCATACTCTTATTTACATATTGTAAAACCCATATAAAGAGAAAATAAATAAAGGCAACACAGTGACATATAAACACAGTTTTGTGCAACTGCACCAAAACCTAAACATGTGTCCCATATATCAGCACATATATTTCAGACCCAATCTCACCCATCTCATCAAAAGATGCCACTAAGGCAAACAGCCAAGGCAAAACTTCTGTTTCACCAAGCCACATAATACTCCGCTTATTCTGAAATATTTCCCATAAACAGGCATTCTTTATGATTAGAAATGTAATCTTTTCTTTTTCTGGAACCAAGAAACGGGAATTCATGGTAGAGTTACTGTGGATAGATCCAACTTTCCAGCAAAAATATCAGATGTCTTCAATAGAGAGAAGCCATGTTTATAAAAGTTAAATGATGATGTAGCTATTTATAATCTTTGCATGTAGTACCTCGAGTAATGCCCATTTTTTAAAAAACTGAAGCTTGCGGAATTTAAGGTTCTATCACAAACACCATAAACAGAAAAATGATTGCTACATGGAATTGTTTTAGTTCAACAAAAACAAATGTTTTTAGCTTATATAGTACAATAAATAAGTTCCTTCAGCAAGCTACTTGGGGCCTGGACCTATATGAAGCAAGATAAATTAGAATCTTCTGCTGCAGTCCCACCCTTGACTCCTTTGGCTCTTAGAGACATTTCAGTGGGGAAGTCTGGGAAGCAATGCAGGTTCTGGAAGAAGAGCAAGCCCAAGCAGGTCATTAGTGATGATGAGCCACCAGTCACTTACACAAAGGACCCTGACTCACCTTTGCTGATGTCAATTCCTCTTTTAAAGACATTATTTCCAATCACGCATAGTATTTCTTTCATTGATTATTACTGAAGGAAGTTAATGTTAGCAACTCGAGAGTTAAGGGGACTTGCATTACATGTTACAGGTGATGCTTCTAAACCATGGGACGCTTTGAAATCAGCAGGGATAGATATTTTCATTTTGCGAAATGTTAAATCACTCTAAGTACTAGTATACTTTTTTAGTGAGATCATTCACACCATAAAATTCACCCTTTCAAAGAACACAATTCAGGGTTCTTAGTATATTCAAACAGTTACCTAACTATTATCATGATTCCAATTCCAGAACATTTTCATCATCCCCCAAAGAAACCACAAACCCTTTAGCAGTCACTCCTTCTCCTCCCATTCTCAGCCTCTGGCAACTACTCCATCATTGATTTTTTTTTTTTTCTTAGTGAAGAGTGACAACTTTCCTGGGCATTGTGCTTTCAGTAGTATGTGGCTTTACATGTTTTCATTAGAATTTTTCACACCAAATTTAAACAATGGGCTTTATAAGTATTCTGAGATTATGAAATACCCTCTTTTATATACAACTATTTTTGTCTCAAACATGTTTCTTTATACATAAGAAGTTTCTGTTTTCATGTTTTTCACTATTAAATTCTGTCCTTAATTCAGAAGTGAGAAAAATCAATATTCCAATATTAAGAAAGCAGGAATAACCACAGTTCTTCCTTCCTACTGCTTCCCACAGAATCTGCGAGGTACCGAGGGCTGCAAGGCCTTGGAGGGCAAGCTGCTCATTTCATAGGTGAAGAAACAGATATGACATGGGCTGGTAACATGTCCAAGATCACAAGGCCAGTGAACAGAAAAGCTAGGATGAGAATTCCCTTTTACTAGAACTTTAGTATCAAATATTTAAATGCAGTCTTAGGTTACCCACAAAGTCAGCTACCACGTGAATCTAATTATGCCAGTGTCCTCTACAGCTTTGATCTGAGCATGTGATTTCCTTTTTTAAAACCATTTAAAACACATTTATGTGCTATCTTTTAAGACCGGTAAGGACATGACTAGTCTATTTAACCAGAGGGCCCCATTCAGTCATGGAGACACAACGAAGAAGGGCCAAAGTTCCAGAGTGACCCGAGAGCAGGGTTCAGGTTTCCTGCACTGCAACTCTCCATAGGACAGTGTCAGCAGGATGCACCACTCTATTAAGAGCCAAACAAGTCACACAGATTCAGTATGCTGGAAATGAAGACTTCACAGGCCAAGGATGTTTGGGATTTAGCCATTGCAACAATTCTTCATCTGTGGTGACTTTTTGGAATGGGTCCCGGTCAGACTGGTAATGGATTTGCTGTCATCCTTGTCAGTTCTCTTTTTCACTTCTCTGAGAGAGAGAGGAAAAGAGAGAGAGGATTACTGAGGTATAAAAACTAAGCCACAGATGGTTCTGTAGAAATGAAAAGAGTCTTGCTGAGTGTCTGCATGGCCTTCTAGATACTGTTCTAAATGCTTTATAAGTGTTGACTTAATTTTTGTAAGAACCATGTAAATAGTTTGTTCCTCATCTTGCATGTGAGAAAATGAGGGCAAAAAGAGGTTAAGACAGTTCCCTTAGGTCAGATGACTACAGAAGTGGGATGCACACCACACAGACTGGCTCCAGCTTCTGTTTTCTGAGCTGTTTCTGAGGACACACACACACACACACACACACACACACACACACACACACCCCGTACACACCCGTCTTCCCCTCACTCTCTCCTGAGGTTTCAGGGTGCTGTAGAATCTGTGATACACACAGCATGCACCTTAACACTCTGGAACCTGGTTTCCAGCTTCATGTAATGCTTGCTGAGCTTAACAAAGGCAGTGGTGATTTTATAACCATTCTTTAATTATTTATGATCATGGAGGTAACAATGGATTTACCACCATCCTTTTGTGTCATCTTAAGTTTCTTCCAGTATTAACTGCTAGAGGCAAGACTCACAAAAAATGTGTTACTCTCCAAGATCTTATGAAAAACCCCTAGAGAAGTATCCTAGATGTAGCCCCTGGGGATGCTGGTGAAATATGAAGACCCGGAAGTCTTAGACAAGCTGAATGGCTATCTCTGTGGATGACATGAGTGCCTCCCTAAGATGGCTCCAAATAATTCTGCGCTTTTCAGTGTCAGATACCTCTCCCATCAAGAGGTGAAAGTTTGCCCCACTACCCTCTTGGTCAGGCTGGCTCTCTACCTGCTTTCATCAGCAGAATATGGAGAAAATGGTGTTCTGTGACTTCTAAACCCAAGTGTTTACAATGCCAGGCTGTATCAACCTCTACCCTCTTCAAAGTCCAGGGTTCAAGCAGTCCAGGGTTCCTCAATGGAGAGAGGACAGCAAAATGGCCCTGGGGACTGAGATGTCACGTCCACGTGAAGCCACGAGGAGGAACAACCTGGTGGCTGACATCCAGCCCAAGCTACAACCCCGGTGGCCATCTAACTGCAAATGTAGGAGATACCCACACAAAAGCAGTCCAGAAACTTTCCAGCTGAGATCCAGCCACCTCTGCCACTTATAAGTAATAAAAATTGGTTGTTGTTTTGGGGAACCAAGTTTTGGGATGATCAATGATGAAGCACTTAACTGAAACTACCGGGAATCTGTATGCCTCCAGCAGAGCCACGCTGCTTAACAAAAATACAATGGAATCCATGCATGTCAGTTTGAATTATTTAGTAGCCAGAAAGGTAAAAAGAAATAGGTAAAATTAATTTTATTAATATATTTTATTTAACCCAGTATAGCAGAAATACTGTCATTTCAGCATGTGGTCAATAAAAACACTACTAATGAGGTATTTTATAATGTGTAGAAGGCCTTCAAAATCCATTCTATATTGAACACACAGAACATCTGAATTTGCATTAGCCACATTGTGAGTGGCTAGTGGCTACCAAACTGGCCAGCACAGCTGCAGAAGTTGCTGATAAATCTTAACTTTTGAAAACCACTGCACCGTGAGTTGGAAACAAGACATCTCAACAGGGGAAAAAACGGAACTAATTCTAGCTGTAGGCCAGCTGGTAAATGCAATATACATGTTTTTCAATATTTGATATACACCCCAAACACCCACACCTGACAGGAGATGGGTGAGTAGTAGTATCCTCACCTCACAGATGGGGCATCAGAGACTCAGGAGAAGAAAGAGGAGACACAATTCAACCCTAACACCAGGGAAGACGCATTTCAGACTTCCGATCTCCAAACTTGCCAGATAATAAATCTGCATTACTTAAGCCTCTACATCTGTGGGAGTTTGTTACAAGGACAACAGAAGATTAACACAACTTCCAATTGCAAAATCTCAGTCATTCTGTCATTGAATAAATGCCCAATTTATGCCAGGCTCTGGGACCTTCAGCTAGTGAGTTGAGGGAGAGTCAAAAGTCTATATAAATAATCTTGTGGTCCTGTGAGAGCAGCTGCCACACATGCACAGTGTGTTGTGGGTTTCACAGAGATGGGGCTGCTTAGAGACTCTGACCTTGGAGAGACCTTTTGAAAGAACAGAAAAGAGATTCCAGGTGCAGGGAACAGCATGTAGAAAGGCAGAGGCATGAAAGAGCTTGGCCATGATTGGACGCAATTTGCTATGTCTACAAATTATCACTCATTTGGGAAAAAGAGCTAGAAATTCAAGAAGGGTAGTTGAGGTCAGGCTGTATATTAGTTTATTTACATGTTGCTGATAAAGACATACCTGAAACTGGGAACAAAAAGACCTTTAATTGGACTTACAGTTCCACATGGCTGGGGACACCTCAGAATCATGGCGGGAGGCAAAAGGCACTTCTTAGATGGCAGCAGCAAGAGACAAATCAGAGCGAAGCAAAAGCAGAAATCCCTGATAAACCCATCAGATCTAGTGAAACTTATTCACTATCACAAGACTAGCACAGGAAAGACCAGCCACCATGACTCAATTACCTCCCCCTGGGTCCTTCCCATGACACATGGGAATTCTGAGATACAATTCAATTTGAGATTTGGGTGGGGACACAGCCAAACCATATTATGCTGTGAAAGGTTATCAGCCACATGCTAAGGACCTGGGACTCTGTGTTGTCAGTAGGATACCAATGTAGGGTTGGATGCAAGGAAGTAAATATTAACTGGATCTTTATTTATAAAGATTACCTGATTATAGGGTAGAGAATGAATGGATATTAGAGAAACTCTGAGGCAGAAATTCTTGCACTAGACCAGGTAGGGAATTTTGAGGCCTGAATCAAAGCAGAAAAAGGGAGAAAGTGAGAAAAATGCATGGATTCAAAAGAGACTGAAAAACTACCTTCAGAAGCCACTGGAGGCAAATGATAAAAGCAAGAGAGAAAAAGAATCAAGACTGACTCCAGGTGACTATTGTTTAATTATAATTTTGGTAGATTTCTGAGAAAGGGAATACAGATTGGGGAACAAGTTTAAAGCCACATGAACACACTAGGATTTGGATATGCAGAGTCACCATGGCTACGGAGCTTCCAGTGGGGGGTTCACTCCATGCTTACATGATTTTAACAAGAGGTGGAGGTTAAAAATACAAAAACTGAAAGTCACCAGCTAGAGATGGTTCCAGAAGTCATGTGGTTGGAAGACATTAGGCAGACAGAGAACAAAAAGGAAGAGAGGATGGTAGAGACCCTGAGATTATCAACGTTTAAGCAGCAAGCCAGTTATCCAAGTTGGTGGTGAAGAGTCCCCACTCTGCCACTTACTAGATGTGTCACTGAGCAAGCTGATTAAGTATTCTAATTTCTAATTTCCCTATCTGTAAAATGGGCACAATAACTATAGTATCCTCACAGAATAATCCACATCTCTCTTCTTGTAGATCCAATGGCCTCTATCAGCTACCTACCATATGGCTGTCTGGCCGTCTGCTGTCATTTTTTTTTGTTTTTCTGTAATGGTAAATTGAAAGGTCAGTCTTTTATTCCCTCGATGTCTCCATTGAACATAGCATGGGGCCATGTACATGCTAAGTGCCCATAATGCAGACATTATTGAACCCGAAAGCAAATATTAAGGGGGAAGGTATATAACCACATTTTCATCTGGCCTTCGGCCTCTTGAATCCACCAAAAATGCAGGCATGCTGCACTTTAAGGAAATTATACAGATACAATTCCAAACATCTAAAACAGATTTAAGGCTGGGAAAATTAAGTCACCTCACCAAAAACTACCATATGCTTAACAACTGCAGTTTAAATGTCTCAGTCTATGGACAGATATACACCCACTGGGCTCAGTTCTGAAGCTGAACTGCTATGTTAGCCTAAGCTTTTTGAGTTTTTCTCCAATTTCAGGCAGTTGATAATTAAATGCCTCTTGAACTTGAATCTGCTGCAAAGTGTTTAAAGGCTGTGATTCTGGAACGGCAAATTTACTTACTAATGGGACAATGGTTATGAAAGATGACCTATCAGCACTAGAGGGAAATTGCAATTCTAGGAGAAACTCTTCCTGGGGTTGAGAGATTTTCTAAGAAAAATCAGAGTACTTCAGGTTGTTAGCCAAACATTTATGGCCTCCCTTTAAAAATAAATTGTTTCGGACAGTGCAAACCCATACTTTCTTCTAGTTTTATGACATTATATGATCTCACCCTATGAAATCTAAACTGAAAACATACATGTTTTGCATTATACATACTTTTCCCAAGGTTATAAAACTTTTAAAAATGATAATTTTACCTGTGGAGACTGTAACATTTCCATTTAAGGGTTGGGAACTTTGACAAGCAATTCAGAATGCTGGGTATAAAGCAATTAAATTCTTCATATGTTTGCTTTATTTATAATTTTTATATTTAACACATCACTAACATCACTAGAAGCCCAAAGCCTGACCATAATGCAATAACAATAAAACAAAAACCTTTATGATAAATGATTCACAAGAAGCTTATCTGATTTCTTGCCTAAAGCTTTTTAAAAAAACCAAACAACTATAACCTGTCCATTATGGAGCTGAAATAACCTAGTTATGAAAATGCCTTTGCACACCAGTTGTTTTAAGTAAACACACACAAGCTGGGGTCTAAGTTTCACTGTAAGCAGGACCAATACCTGGCTGACCCAACATGCCACATAGGAGCAGACAGGAAGAAAGGCACAGGAAACTTACAGCCTCTCCCATCTTTATGACATAATAAAGAGAATCGATTCTTCACTCTGGGTGTGACCTGGGCACTTTGGAGCCATTTAACTTTAATAAGACCCCATAAGACAAATAGAGCATTAAACAGTGATTAAGATATTCAGTGGAGTACAGGCTGTCATATACAGAGTCACAGACTGTTAGAATTAGAAAGGACCTTTGGGATCATTTCCTTCAGCCCCTGTCCTCATTTTATAGATCAGAGTTACCAAAAGAAAGACAGGGACTTGTTCGAGACCTCACAGCTATTTGGAAGTATATTTAAGAATGGACTTTGAGCCTGCTGACACCACAATCCACCAATTTGCTGTCAGCAGCCAGTATCCACATGCAAGGCTTGACCTGCTGCGTCTGTTACTGCTGCGTGGGAGCAGCAATAATGTGCTCTGCTGACCAAGGCTAAGGCATCCCAGTGATGCTCTGAAGACCTGCAGATCCTTCCCTGCCGCCATCTGCCCAGCCACTCTATCACTTCCATCAAGCAGTTCTCAGCAACATAATAATGAAACACCAGCACAACCATGTGAAACATAAAAACCTGACAATTCAACAGTTATTTGATCTTTAGTAAATGCAACTTCTGCATTTTACTGAACTCTCCCCTCTTTACTGAATGCAGCTTGTTTGGCCAAAATAGCTGGTGATTCCTGTGCACCCACAAGTGCATGGAATCTGTTAGTCAACCTGACATAAAAGTTTTACTCTGACTCTTTTTTCACAAATGTGATAATGTGATTATCAGCTCATGATTCTCCTACTATTCACAGGCAAAAAGAAACAAACAAACAAAAAAACCACATAATTTAGTTGAATGTACACATATTCAAATATTGTGTTTTTTTCTTTTAAAAGGTGAAATGGTTTGGAGCAGGCGTCCCCAAACTTTTTACACAGGAGGCCAGTTCACTGTCCCTCAGACTACTGGAGGGCCGCCACATACTGTGCTCCTCTCACTGACCACCAATGAAAGAGATGCCCCTTCCTGAAGTGCGGCGGGGGGCCGGATAAATGGCCTCAGGGGGCTGCATGAGGCCCAAGGGCCATAGTTTGGGGACGCCTGGTTTGGAGGTTTGTTCCCTCCAAATCTCATGTGAAAATCTGACCTTCAGTGTTAGAGGTGGGGCCTCGTGAGAGGTACTGAATCAAGCAGGGGGATGTCTCAGAAATGGCTTAGTTCCATCCTGTAGTGATGAGTGAGTTCTTACTCTGAGTTCACAGGAGATCTGGTTGTTTAATAGATTGTAGTCCCTTCCCTTTCCTTTCTCCCCTCTTATCATGTGACATGCTGGCTCCCCTTCACCTTCCACCATGAATAAACGTTCCCTGAGACTTCGCCAAAAGCCAAGCAGATGCCAGCACTAAGTTTCCCTTAAAGCCTGCAGAACCATGAGCCAATTAAACCTTTTTCTTTATAAATCGCACAGTCTTGGGTATTCCTTTATAGAGATGCACAAAACAGCCTAATGCAAAAGGAAAAAAATGTTCTAGGTCACATTCAAGGTGAGCACTGTTTTTACTTTAAATAAAAATGACTTCCAGTGATGTAAGGGGAGATGGCTATCTCTCCTGGACTGATGTCAAAGAGGAAAATGTTCAAAGACTCTGAGTGTGAATACAGGACATCTGCCAAACCTGCCACAAACTAATGCCAAGCAGGCCTCCTAAGTCCACTCCCTGATTCTCTTAAGTGAGGGCAACAGTCCATCCCATAGTCCTAGTCCAAGCATTCTATTAATGGAACTCTATTTTATTAAGCACTATAAATGCCAAGTCATTAATAAATAGTGTGTGTGTGTGTGTGTGTGTGTGTGTGTGTGTGTGCATCTCTGTCTCTCTCTCTTTTTTTTTCTTAAATAGAGGCAAGGTCTCACTATCTTGCCCAGGCTAGTTTCAAACTCCTGAACTCAAGTGATCCTCCCTGCTCGCCTCACATAAAAATGAGTTTAAGGTAACCACTCAGGAATTAAATGTCCGTCAAGTGTCTGCTTCCTCTTGGCCGGCAGCTAACACATCCTCCTTCCTGCTAACTTTTCCTTACTGGATCCAGCAGCCTCTATGTTGCTGAAACCAATGGGATCTGCTAGGATTACAGCTGTGAGCCACTGTACCTGGCCCTAAGTTATTAACTGAAAAACAGCATTAAAGATATTGCAAAGTATTTTAACTATCAATGTTCACTAGCAGAAGAAGGCAATTATCATACTAAAATTAAGATTCTTATAAAATTTTACAAATAAGCAAAAGAAGAATGACATGCCTAAAGTTATATTTTAACTCTTGTCTGCAATTAAAGATGATTGCTCTAAATTTTGTAATGCACATTTGTTTTTTTTTTTCCTTTTTTTAAATATTTAATCCCTCTAGGCCAGTAAAGAATAATTTTTCATTTATGGCAGAAAACTAAGCAGAAGGGAAAAATCTAATGTATAATGTTATTTCTTAAGAATTACTTCAAGCATTAAGACACATACCTTTATATCCAAGTTCTTTAGTGATGCCACTTTCATTCTATTGTACATCCAAAATGTTATTTACTATTAACACTATTGCCTTAGCTTAATAATTATCTAGGTAATAATTCTGACGAAGTGTTTCCAACTGGCATGACATACAATTTGCTTTTTTTTTTCCCTTTTGCCTGGGAAAATATAATAGTTGTATTCATAATAGTCTCTTGTGTTTAAAATCTGGTTCCTGGAAATGATTCATACATGTCGACTATTAGCTTTGTGGTGACATTTTTCAGAAATGTCAACACCACCTCAGATGCACCTCTTTTCTTTGGCAGTAAAGATATTTTGCCAGTGTTCACAGCAGCACTGCCAGTTTTTATAATATCCATATATTTATTTCTCCCACCATGACTGAAAGTTAAGAGAGTGTTTTCCCACATATATTCTATCTGTACACTATGGACAAGAAATGTGACATATGTAACAAGTGAAAATTCAGTCCTCCATCCATTTTCCCCAACTTTACCGAGCAAGGTGCAGAACGGCTTCCACTATGTTAGAACCATCTTTGGCACTTGTTTCACAGAATAACGCCCCATACGTCTGTAGAAAAGAAATATACACAATTAAAAGAAGCCCTTCATTGAGGTTCCTGGAAGTTTAGCTTTTAAAATGAGTAAAATAAAAATACGTTCCTATTGAGCATGCTAAGAATAATAGCTAAGAAACTGAATTGAGAGTTCCAGTACTTACAAAGAAAGTGGTTTAAGCATAGTTGCTCCAAGAACAGTTCCAAGTTGGAGGATTTTTACTTTACATTTAAAAAATAGATAAGTTCCTGTTTTAAGGTTTTTATTTCCAACAGTCAAACACATGCTACCAAATGTTCTTTATCAAATATTCTGAGACAAACAAAGATGAGTTTAAGGTAATCACTCAGGAGTTAAATGTCCATCAAGCGTCTGTTTCCTCTTGGCCAGCAGCTAACACATCCTCTTTCCCGCTAACTTTTCCTTTCTGGATCCAGCAGCCTCCATGTTGCTGAAAACAATGGACATGTTCTAGTCCTCCATTATTCAACCTCCCAGCCATAGTGGATAAGGTACCATGTCACATTCTTGCTTCAAACTTTCAATGCCTCTCATTCCTCCTCAGCAAATGTGTTAATGCTTTTCCATGGCCAATGAGGCCCAGCTTCATGTAGCCCCGGGCAAGCTCCGAGCTTCACCTCCCACCTCACTCCTCCCTCTTCACTCACAGAGCTACAGTAATCCCGGTCTTCCTCTAGTTCCCCAATGTCCAAAAAGCCTTCCTAATTTTGAGACCTTTGTACCTGCTCTTCCCATAACCTAGGTTCCCCCAACTCTCCACCAGTCTGACATCTACCTACTTTTGGGATTTTTAGGTAATCCTTCCTTCAAGTTAAGATTCAGTAGTTCTTAGCCCTGAAAAGTTTGTATCGTATTACGACTTTCCATCATAAACCTTCATAGCACTCTGTGTTCTCCCTACATAGCAGTTACCACAATTTTAATTGCTCAAGTTATTTTTCTGTGCCTCTGTCTGACCAGCTGGACACTTTCTCTTAATAAGCAGAACTAAGTGTTGTGGGCCTGGGTGTGGGTTAAACAGTCCTGTGTAGGATAAGGGAAGGAGGGAGCACTTGCTCTAGAACAGGGAGAACGAGAAGAGCCAGGAAATGGGGAAAGATGGCACAATGGGACCTTTACCCATGAGCCCACAAATCCATAGAAAATCTGTAAACACCACAAAGCAAATGCATTTCTGATAGAAACAGTCAGTGCTGGTGCTGACTTGTATATCCAGGATGTTATAGGGTGAAACAGAGATTGCCTTTGAGGATGCAGGAGCATGGAGGTCACAAGCCACATAAGGAAGCAAACTTTGGGAACTCTGCAAAATCATGGAGAGGGAATCAAGCTGGCAAGCAGCCAAGAATAACCAGCTCTCAAAGTGGCTGTGTGTCTAGTATGTGGATTTCATGAGTTTAACATCTGTCTCCCCCATATAGTAAACAACACAAGGGCAAGGAATACTCCCCCAGATAGTAAACAATATAAGGGCAAAGAAACAATGTTTGCTTCATTCTCTGCTCTTGGTTCAGCACATAATTGTTTGTTACGTGATGGACACCAATAAATATGGGTTGAATGAATCTCTTCTGCATTTCATTGCCTAGTTTTGACATTTACCACATTTGCTTTGCAGTTCTAAATTTTAAAACAAGAACAATTATTCCAGCTTAAAATATTAAAACTGAAACTTCTTTTTGAAATTCACATACATATGCTACAGAGTAGTCCCTTCCTGGTGCTGACGACAGACAACACTATCAACATCAAATCAGACGGCTGCAGTATGAATTTATTTGACCCATGGTGCATCTAACTACTTCTATGGGTAAGACAGGTCAGAAGAGAGCCAGGTAGCATTCTGACACAAGGATAGACGACACTGATGGGAGAACAAACACTGCCCATGACAACAACCTGAACAGGAATGAGTTTATTCCTGTATGCAAACGCATACCCCAAAATGCATATGCATTTGTATACGGGAATGATTTTTTTATATCAACTAAGCACAAATCTTAGAAAAGAAAAGAAGTCTTCCAATTCCCTTCCATACAGGTGAGACACTGTACCATCTTCTGCCCTTGGCATTGTAACCCTCTGAAACCAAAGCCGTCTTTTCAAACTAGACCACCATTTGCTTCCTTTACTTGGATTCCAGGACTAGAAAGGAGTCTAGGAAGTAGGTAAGAGGGAGGAGGAAGATTATGGGATTATTTAGGTTCCCTTTTGTCAATGATACTCAATGGGAGAAAATGACTATGAGCTTGTTTTACTTCTGTGAGGGACTTTATCTTTCGCAGAATTACTTACACTCATAAAAAAGGTAGAAGTCACAGCAGTTCTGCCTGTGTTAAGAAGGACAGATGCCTCAAACAGGGGAGGTTTATCAAAGAACCTCTCAAGCAAAGGCAGACAAAAGTGAAAGGCCACTGACTTCAAAGCCACTAAACCCCTATGCTCTCTTCCAGTTCCAAGGCATCCTCACTCTTACCATGGCCAGTTTCTCTCCAACGTGCCCTGGGACACATTTTTGTCCCTCCCCAGCAGCAGTGTCACGGAGGTCAGCCTTGTTTCCTACCAACATGATGGGAACAGTCTCATGGGCGGCATCCTACCAGGAAGGAAAAAAAAAATGGGGCGCACATCAAATACCGGACAAACTGCGATGACCACATCAACAATGGCAATAGCAATTACCATTCTCCCTTTGCCCCTTTTGTGCCAGATCCTTTATAGAGGATATCTTTAAACCTCAAAGTATCTCTAAAAACAGCCATACATTTTCCCATTAACAGAGGAGAAACTGAAATTCAGAGAGGTCAAAGAAGAAGGTATAAGAGTCAGGGCCTGGGTCCAAACTAACTCCATAACCCTTGCCTCTATATAATGCTCCATCCTTAGGTTAATGAAAAGGCTAAAAGGCACTGGGATTAATCAGTTTTATGGCAAAGGAAACACGTGTCTGTTAATTTCTTATCTCTAGCACACAGAGCACTACAAGCCAATATAAACTCAAAAGGCATGACCACAGAATCATATTTGGCTGTAGTGCCCCCAGAATTTTCTACAATTGTTACTTCAAACAATAGTGATCACAAGTCAAGTTCATTATTACAGTTATAAAACACACAGTAATTTTTTGGCTATAATGAAACAAAACGGTCGTTTGGAAGTTCCACACTCACTGCTCTCTGGTTTACAACAAAAGCAAAATATAAAAGTCTTGAGGTCAACATTTTTCTGAGAAAGAGTCAAGTATCAATCTTTCAAAGTCATAGATTCTAAGATAAGTCTCCCAAGTCAGCCTATGCAATTGTCACAATGTCCCACAGTCACAGTGGTGCTCATGGAATATGAGGTGTCAGTGGCAGAGTCAAGTCTGAGACCCACCCCTCCACCAGCCTGACCCACTGGCTGTGTAAGATCAGGCAAGTCTCTGCAGGTTTCTGCTCCAGTCTCCCTGTCTGTAAAATGAAGGATTTAATGAGGGCATATCCTATCTCAGCAGGCTATGATGAGAATACAGGAAGATAACTTGACTGGCACAGAAACACAGGTTTCTGGTTCCTAAATAAGAGAAGTTGTAGCTTTGATGAAAACGTGGAAATTACTCTTTGCAGTGACTAAAGATACCTGTGTACTCATTGGGTTTGGGGCTATTCCTGGTACAGGATCACAAAACGTGCCTCAACACGAGATTGTAAGGAACTTCCTTTCTCTTCAGACAATTTTCCTTGGACTGAAGGCTCCAGAGTATAATAAAATCAAAGGAAAGAAGGCAATGAATGATCCTCTCCAAAATCAGGTTTCACTCATTAAGGCACTCATTAATTGGGTTCTTTGTTGATCTCTGGATGCAAGGGGCATCATCTGAAAGTTATTAGTTAAACAATCATTTCAGTAAGCCCAAGAATCCAGGCATCTAAATGACTTCTCAAAGCCACAGAGGTAGAGGACACCTTCTTCAAGTCTGGACTGAAGTATCTCCTTCACTGTGAAGCTACCCTAATGAAAACTGCAGTCCACTTACTCACCGTCAGGCCTTTTAACCTGCTCCTTTTGTTTCTATAACATCGTCACCTTCCAGCATATTATTTCATTTTGTCTCCCCTATTAGAACATAGGCTCCATAAGGATAGGGCTCTGTTTTCTTAACAGATATATCCCGAGAACGTAGACTATTACACAAGAATGGGTAGGTACTCAAATAATATTTTTGAATGTGTTAAAATTGGGAAGAGATCTTAATATCTCAAATATCTCCATTCAGCCTTTTACCCAAAAATTCTATCAATAAAATATTCATGACAGGTACATAAATGGCTATAATTTTCCTTTATCCATAATTCTATTACAAGATTTTTAAACACAGCAGTTTTCCATCAAAGTAAACCAATTATTAATTCAGAGGGTCGGTTCACCGCTGACAGTCTACTGCTTCTCAATCCTCTGGCCTGTTCCAGTGATCGCACCATTCATTTCCACCCATATTTACAGTGGCCATATAAACCGTCCCTGTAGAATTTTCTCAAATTAGAAATAGTAAGCCACGGAGAACCTTCACTGTGCCCATTCTTTTCCCAAGGTGAAAGTCAAATGCCATTAGTAGTACCTAATTTTTCATCCATAACAAATTTAAGAATTCATTTCTTCTATAGTTTTCTTCCTTGTCAGACCCTATGAAAAGGTGATGCCAATAGTGGAAAAGACGACAGTGTGTGAAGGTGCTTTGCAAATTACGGCAGAGGGCCACTTTACATAGGGGTTATTTCACTGTGGCTGACCTTGCCTTTTGTGCTTCCTTTTATAACCCAAAGATTTTAAATAAAGACTAAGTCCAAAATGTCAACAATAGACAGTTTTGCTGTAGATTTTAAACATTAGTGTGGATGAGTTAGAATTATCTGTTATTTTCTGGACTTAATGCTGTATCTTAGGGATCTCCATTTGTTCACTTCAGTAGCCACCGCTCCTTTATGCACTAATTATACCTTGGGATTCTTTTTTTTTTTTTTTTTTTTTTTGAGATGGGGGTCTCACTCTGTCACTCAGGCTAGAGTGCAGTGGCACAATCATGGCTCACTGCAGCCTCGACCTCCTAGAAGTCAGGTGATCCTCCCACCTCAGTTTCCCAAGTAGCTGGAACTAGAGGTCCATACTAACAAGCCTGGGTAATATTCGTATTTTTTGTAGAGATGGGGGTCTCACTATGCTGCCGAGGCTGGTCTCAAACTCCTCGGCCCAAGCCATCCGCCTGCCTTGACTACCCAAAGTGCTGTAATTACAGGCCTTGGGATCCCTTCTTGACATCAGAGGCTTCTTCATGTAATCTGCCCACTCTGGTACTTTACCAAAACAGAAATCACTGTTGAATCAAGAGGTTTGGCTTTAGCCCCTATTCTACTCCTAACCACTAAATAACTCTAAGCCAGTGCTACCTATGCTTCCTATGGCTCAAATTTCTCATATAAAGTTAGGATAATATGTTTCTTATTTCATTTCTCAGATGCTAGAGAGATGACTATAACACAGGGAAATTTTGTGAAGTAAAACTGTTACATAAATGTAAATACACTTTCATTGTTTACAATCATTTTGTCATAAGTTAATAGAACAGAGTGTATATTTATTTATCACTATCAAAGTCTTACTGCCAATTGGAATCAGTCATTTCTCACACTAATACTTTAGATAGAAAGACAACATTAATGCCAGAAGCTAACTTGAGATCAGACAGCAACCAGTCCTCTCTGTTCAGCCACTACTGCAATTTAATGCCTGCTTAAATTACAGATAATATGCTTACTTGAAAAGTTGTATTAGCCCCTACTTTATTTTTCAAAAGTGCATGTTGAACCACAGCTTGAACTGTAGTGTTATGTTAATAACTGTTGACAGTGCGCTAAATGTGGTCAAAATCATTTCCTATTTTTAAAAATTATTTACCATGAAATTAGAGGACAGGAATGTTTCTCAGGTGAAAGACATCACCTTATTTAACCAAAGAAAGCACAGAAGCTACGCCCATGTTTAAAATACCAATTGGTATTTCAGTAGTACCTTCAGACATCTAAAGATCCCAAATCACTACCAGAACGAAGTTGAGAAGAGAACTCCCACAGACTCTGAATCTCGACACATGCTCACATCCAGATGGTGTTTCAGCTGTACTTCCCATGCCCATGGACACCCCTACAGGCCCCCAACCACACTACACACTCAACCACACCATCTCCTTGTTTGTAAGAGCTGATACTCAGGCTACCTGGATTTTCACTTGCTTACAATGGGATTCTGATTTTATCTATAAGAAAACCTACAAGTTTTATTCCCCAAAGCTCCCTTCATTAGCGTCCTTGGCTTCGGGGAAATGTGCCCAAATCCGGAGGAAGAGATGAATGCTGCCAGTCCTGCCTGTAGCATCCAATTCTTCCTGGTGGCTTGGATCAATGGTTCCTAATCAAGTTCACTGTGACAAAGAAGAACAACAACATTTTCCAAGATGGCCTAAAACGGCCTCGTGTAATTTTCGGTTTCTCCATTGTGATTTCTTACCTCAACCATATCTACCCATTCTCGTACATTAAGAAAGCTTTTCTCACATGTAACATCATATAGCAGCAAAACACCATCTGCCTTTCTGAAGTAAGACTTGGCAATACTTCTGAATCTGAGAAAGAGAAAATCACACAGTCAGTTTGTGTTGCCTTATTCTTTTTCTCTTTTATGCTCTTTTCTCATCTTCTAAAATCAACCCCAGGTGAGAAGACTCTAATTGCAATATCTGACTGTGAAATAGCCATTTCAAAGGCCTCGAATGACCCAATGATAGGTAACAAGTGACCAACTTAGAACATCCAATCCTGGGTGACCAACTTAGAACATCCAATCCTTTTCTCTACCAAACAACCCCAGAATGTCTACAAACTCCAGAGCATAACCAGGGCAAGGTTGAGAGGAGAGTTTCCAAAAATTTCAACCTCAGCAACAAGCTACCAGAACCCCCATGTGGAACACAGGAGGCTGGAAGGAGGTACAAACTAGAGAATACTTCTATTTGGTGGTGGTGTTTAGGGAGTGTTGTGGGTGGGTGGAAGAACTACCAATGTGGAATGCTGTAACATACCAGGACTTCACATACATGGAGGTCAGGGGATTCACTTTGGGAAGAGCACACCTCAATGCACATGCCCTAACTCAAAACCCAGTACAATATTTTATGAGTATTTTAAATACAATTACGTCAACCACAAATATTTTTTAGATGTCAAAATTCCCAGTCTGCTGGAGAATGTGAGCACCATAGGGGCAGGCATTTGTGCCTGTCTGTTCACTCCTGAATCTTAGCATGCTGAATAATGCTTGTTACAGAGCCAGGTACCCCATACTTATGAACAACTGAATAGATTTTATTCCCAAACAGTTAGACAATATTAAAACCTGTGCTTAATGCTCTGCTTATCGGTAATGAACACAAGGTAGGTGCCATCATCAGCTGCGAGTTTGCTATGTGGTTTGTGCCTCTGCCCTTAAATCAAGGGGAGCTGACTGGTTCTCTTCTCCATCGTTTATTATTCTACAGCCAGGGAGCTCCTGGGGCTGTCACTGCACCAAAAAGTGCTGCCTCTCTTGTTAGAAAAGGGCACTCTCTGTCACAACTGAACATCGGCTCAAAAGAAGCTTAAAGATCTCACAGCAGTTATAGGTAAATGAAGAATAAGATGTGGGAAAAGATAAGCATTTTAAACTTATAATACTCTTTATAAATAGATGTAAAATTATGCATGTAATTATAAAGTATGTTATCATTATATAATTATGAGTATGAAGAATATCAACAGGCCTGCAAGGCTTGTTAATGCAAACTCAGGCAGAGACCACAGGGCTGTGGAAAGCACTTGCCTCTCCTGGCCAGCTGTATCCCAGAGCTGCAGAACGGTTCGCTCTCCATCCACAATGAGGGTTTTCATTTGGAAATCAACTCCTGAAAAGGAACACGAGAGCGGAGAGCAGGATATAAATAATTCCATTGGTTTTTCACTTTCAAGCATTCTTTAGATGAGGCAAAAGCCAGTAAGCCACAGCTTAGCCAGGGAGGGAGGAATGAACATGACCTTTAAGGAGAGTGACCTTCAAATAGGAATGACAGATCAGACCACACATGTGTGTGTGGAGGCCCCACCTGCAGTTGGCTGACTTGAGGAATTATTTAATTTATGAGCCAAGGGAAAAATCTATGTTTTATTTTCCCTGATGACTGGATAAACTCAGTCGTGTGTGTGTGTGTGTGAATGTGCACATGTGTACATGTACATGTGTGTATGAGTGGGCATGCGTGAATGTGCAGACTACATGTGTGTATGTATATGTGTAGGTGCATATATGTTTTGTGTCTATGCATGTAAGTATGTGAATATATAGGTATGATAGGTATGACTATAAATGTATGTATATCTAAACACGTATACATATGTAGGTATACATGCACACAGTAGTGCATACACACACTTACACACATCTATATGCATTATGGTCTCTGGCAACTGAACCAAATACCGTATGTAGTCTTTTTATGAGTAAAATTGAAATAAACTTTCAGCTTTGTTATCTTGAAGAGTGTTATCAGAAAACCATAAACTTGCAAACACACCTGTTGTGAAAAGAACAATCAATCTGTCCTAATGTTTCAGGTTATCAAAATAAGAACTCTTTAGACAAAGAAGTAAAATAGATGACAATTTACATATCTTCAACTCCTTTTACTGATTATTATGCAAATTGGGGCAATCAGGATACTACATGTTCTATTGTTCTGCTGGGAAGGTGGGGAACAGAAGGAGCGTATCTGGCAATGATTTTGACCATAATGACAAAGTGGCAATCCATATTGTTACTTTGTCAACATCAAATGATACCTTAGCAGAAGGGTTTTCCTGGCCACCCTATGTAAAACTGCACCTCTCCCTAAACCTTTTTTTTGTGCCTTTTTCCTCCATTGGGATGTAAGTGCAGTATCCTTTGCACCTACAACAGCATTTTGTTTTTAATGGGACTCGGGAAACACACTCTGAATAAATGAATCTGATATCTCAGGCTCTAAATTTAATTCAATTCATCTGACTGGCTAAACAAATTTTTTTTTTTTTTTTTTTTTTTTTTTTTTTTTTTTTGTGGCAGGGTCTTACTCTGTCACTCAGGCTGAAGTGCAATGGTGTTATCTCAGCTCACTGCAACCTCCACCTCCCAGGTATAAGCGACTCTCCAGCCTCAGTCTCCAAGCAGCTGGGACAACAAGTGCCAACCATCATGCCCAACTAATTTTTGTACTTTTGGTAGAGATGGGGTTTTGTCATGTTGGCCAGGCTGGTCTTGAACTCCCGACCTCAAGTGATCCACCAGCCTCGACCTCCCAAAGTGCTGGGATTGCAGGCATGAGCCACCGCACCTGGCAAGATATCTCAGTCCTTTTAGCCTTCCTTTCCTAAAAGTAGGCCTTAGGCAAAGCAAGAAGGACCTTTCCATAGACTAGGACACACGGACACACGGACACACGGACACACACACACATCTATATATGTGTATATATACAGAGAAAGAGAAAACTGTTTATCTGAGTATCTGTGTATGTAATCCCCAAAGAAGAGAAAATCAAGCTAACGAAGGTCATTTTCCCATTATCAACCGAAATAGAAGCCATACCCAGGGTGGCGCTTGTATTTCCCCGAAATTCATTCTTGCAAAGTCTCATGAGGAAACTAGACTTCCCAACTGCAGCGTCCCCAGCAAGCACAATCTTATAAGCCTTCTGTGAGCGAAAAGATTTAGCATTGTCGTCTATCAGGTCTGTCTGGGGGGGAAAACCACAGTGAATGATAAAGGTATTGCCATTTTCATCCTAATAAGTTACATTGCACAGGAAAAAAGCAGTGCTAATGAATAGGAGTGTCTCAGAAACCACCTACCTGTGGGGAGAGTGCTGAGATGGGCTTCCTTGATGAACTAACAATGCTGCCTTCACTAACAGATCCTTGGGGCTTCCAGTCTAAGATGGAAGCCACACCTTCCGAACCATAGGTCTCTTCATCCCTTATGTCAGGAACCTAGTTTTTTTTAAATGTCAGCAGTTAAATTAAAAAATGTAAGCAGTTAAAAAAACAAAGTCTAAAACGTATACATTATGGATTAAAGAGAAGAAAAATATGCAGCTGAATCAACAGTCAATGCTATTAACATAAGGGAACAGAGTGGCACTGAATGGCATTCTATGAGAATTTCTCCCTAACTTTGCGGAGAAAAAAGCATTTTACTAACTATGCTTTGTATTTAGGACCTTGAAAGCAGATTCCCATAACAGATAGAAGGCAAATATGACAGATTTCAATCATGTAGAAGACCTAGGAAAGCAGTGGTTTCTGGGGCTTACATCTGTGTCTGAAGCATCACCTCCAAAGCTCTCCTGCACCCCACGTGACCTCTGAAATCCCCTCTGGTGCTTGTATTCCACTTCTGAGTCATACTCATTGGGATCTCTCAAGGTAGACAGGCCACTGTCGAAGCAGCTTTCAGGTAGGCTGTCAACTTCACAGTTCGTCCTCTGCATAGGATCACAGAGGGCCAGGGAGTCACAGTCCTCATCCACATAGGAAGAGCGGGATGACCTAGTAACAAAGGGGAGGACCAATTTACCTGAGGGCTGGAAATGCTCGAGAAAGTACAGGCCAAAGACCACGTGCTATGAGATGGAATCAAGGAGACTGACATTCTCACTTTTGCTAAGAGCCACAATGTATTGCATGATTAGGCATTAGGGGAAATGAAATGCTCAAAAAGCATCAGTTCATTCTATGCAGTGATCAATTAAGATAAAGACCCTCACATCCAAACACTTAATAAACAAAGCCATTAAAAAATCGGATTCCTTATTTCTTGATACAAAAAGAATTAGAGTACCTAAGACATAAACACAATCTCAAGTTGTATTCAAAAACATGTAGTCAGAACATAGGAGCCTTTTTACTCTAATGTGATCAGACCACATTCTGAACATCGTGTCCATTTCTGGATACCATCTCTACTTAAAAGGGCTGCTGAGAGCCCAAACGGAAAATGCAACCACAATTTCAGACTCAAGACCCTTAGATCTGAAAAATAAGATTCAGTGTACTCAACTTAAGTCTTCATGTTTTCTCTTTTCAAATACTTGAAGAGCTGATACACGAAGACCACATCCTCTCAGGTTGCATAAGACAAAATAAGATAAGCTTTGCTGGGTGTCATATTTCTAATTAACATGGCAAAAAATGATAGGCAATTAGAAACACCTGATAAAAAATGATAAGCAAATAGAAACATGACTGGAATGTATGGTTTGACACATGAGTTTTCTGCCACTAAAATGTTGACACACCATCTGGAAACAGCCCTTTGGGAGATGTTTCATAGGGAGGGAGGTGCCTCAGATAAAGGCTAGAACTTATGAGGCCTATAGATCTTACCATTAATGAAACTCTGAAGATTTTATAAATAAGGAAGAAATTCACATCAAATAAGAGAATCAAAACAAACTGTATACATTCCTGTTTACTTTTGCTCTTCCATATGATTTCCATAAGAATCTAAGTTTACCGATGATGGTTATGACTTATTTAGCACCCACTATACCCTGGGCACCTCCTACTCATGTGCTTACACGAATCACTGGAAAGGGAGAATGGGCACAATACAGAGGTCTTCAGATATGAGAAGAGGTGGATATGCTTAGAAAAGAGAAGGTGAGCTTAATATAATTAAGTATGAACCATGTAATTCTGAGAAGTCAAAGTATTTTTATGCCATTAGCATATTTTAAACTTAACTAAAAAGATGATTTAACTAACTTTCTCTCTCTCAATATACTGATTAATTATAAAGTCTTTACTCTGAGCCAACAACTTTATATCATATCTCAATCTATGTTGCTAGCTAGGTGTGCACTCGTGTGTGTGTGAATATATTTTTGTATTATTTATAAAACTCTTCTTCTGAAACTGATTTTAGGTCCAACTGTAAAGTACATAAAAAAACCATTCTAACTATAATACCCTACAAACTACTTCAGCTCCATATCTTCATTACTGGTTACGGTTTATTTTAAGCCTACTTGTATTTTGATAAGGAGCAAATAAAACATGAAGTCCTGAACTGAGAATTCACCTGAATAAACATCTACACTCTAAATTGAAAATATAGGCCCACTCAGCATTATATGATATACCCATGCTAACAAACCTGCACATATACCCCCGAATCTAAAATGAAAGTTGAAATTATTTTTTAAGTAAAAATAATAAAAATACATGTACAGATCAAACTTTCTCAAACTCAACTGAACTGCGTATCCTTCTCAAAGTCAACCATCTTGCCAATCCTCAATATTTTCATTACAATTAGCTACGTAAAAGTTCAAAACAAATTAAATTTTTGTTAAGAGTTCTTGCAAAAAACAAAGCCAAAACAAATTTTTTAGTTAAAATCCAATAAAGCTATAAAAACAATAAGATGTACAACATGCTTTTATTACATTTTTATATTAGCTTTCAAAAGGAAAATAAAATGTCAATTTCTTATATCAAATTAATCACCACACACGCCCAGAAAGGTCATGATGTTGAACTATGGTGTTCTCTCATTACAGCTCAAGGAGGTAGGCACATGAGTACCACATTCCTGTCACTCAAGACATGCTGGGAACATGATGACTTTGTCCCCTAGAATCTTTTGTTGCGGAGCTCTTAGTCCAGTTCTTCTGAGCCTTTCATCTAATCTTTTCAAAATGAATCGTGGTGAAATTTCTAAAATACTTTTCAGTTGTATACTTTTCCCCCCATTTACTTAGAATCAATTTTAAATATTAGTCAAAAATGACATCACACATGCACATTTTAAAAAAATCTATTATTTCTCAATAACAGAATAGTCAGCTATTTAAAAATCAATCCATTAAAATTTTTTGTTGACCAAATCAGTGAACAGTAGAAACAACTTATACCTGGATAGAATTTTCTAAGACATGATCACCAATAAGCCTTAGTAACAGGTCTTCCTAAATGGCAACCTGACCATTTTCTAACACCAGGATGTTAAGTACATTATTCTTTTTACCAAAGTACCCAAATGAAAAGGGGATGAACATGAATCTAAAAGTCACAAAGAAATAGAGAATTGGGGTGGGTGCGGTGGCTCACGCCTGTAATCCTAGCACTTTGGAAGGCCAGGTGGGCAGATCATGAGGTCAGGAGATTGAGACCATCCTGGCTAACATGGTGAAACCCCATCTCTACTAAAATTACAAAAAATTATCCAGGAGTGGTGGCACATGTCTGTAGTCCCAGCTACTCAGGAGGCTGAGGCAGTAGAACTGCTTGAACCTGGGAGGTGGAGGTTGTAGTGAGCCGAGATTGTGCCACTGCACTTCAGCCTGGGCAACACAGAGAGACTCCATCTCAAAAAAAAAAAAAAAAAAAAAAAAAAGAATTGGAAACTTTTTGTTTATGCTTTTACTTCCAATTTCAATTTTTTGACATATTACAAAATTAACTTTTAACTATCAACACTGGACATATGTGTATAAACATACACATACACTCATGTAATCTCTAAGTGATTATTAGGTCTCACATAACAAAAGGCCTCATATTTCAGTTCATTTGATTAAATGCAGGGCTAAATTCTGACTTTTGGCAAGCCTCTGTGACTCCTTCAAAACAGTATCTTATGAGGATCTACTAGCCATATTTATATTTGCTTTGAAAGTTTCCTTTTTCTGCAACATAGCTCACATATTATGCTGAGCTATTAAATATTTACAGATCATGCCAACAGTTTCAACATGATACACCAGAAATACTGCAGTATCAAATATCATAATTCTACTGGTTTCCCTGAAATATCTCTTACTGAGTTACTTCTAAGAAATAAGACATGATTAGAGATGAGGTAATGGTGAGTATATATAAAACCAACCCATAACATCTTCAGGAAATAACTTGGCCCTCTTTGATACACTTTTAATTTTTACATGATTCATGTTTCAGAACTTTTAACATCATAGAAAATATAAATCAGTGACCAAAATATATTCTATTATTTTAATCCACCTCCAAGGAAATTTACTTTTCTTTTAACTGTGATCCTGAGCTCAAACAAAAAGTGAGGACGTGTTAACATACCTGTCATAGCCTAGAGGTTGAGGGGAATGACCAGTGAATTTGGGACTGCTTCTAGAAATTGTATTCCCTGGTGAGATATTATTTATACGCTGTAATACAGAAGTAATTATTTGTTAGTTCATATAATTTTCATGTAAACATTTTATATACACATAGGCATACACAAACCTACTTTTTAAAACCATAGCACATGATTCAAACTTCTAATGTAACTAAAAGTTTGCTATACTACTTGAGCAAACATGAGCATAAAAATCAAGGGAAACATTGCAACAAAGATGACTGCCATAGTATGTTCTCTTCCTCATTCAATCTTAAGTCTAAACCCTACTGCACATTCCATAAAGAAGTACTGTGGTTCCACACATTGCCAGGACCCTGCAACACCAACTTCCTTGAATGTGTCTCTTCTTGAACCATAATTTGGCTTAGTGGCTGACTCCTCCATATCCCAATATGACCCTGGAATCTTACATATGAAGCTAACTTCCAAAAGTGGGATAAAAGGCCTTATGACAAATGCAGTCCAGGAGAGGACCTTAAATTCCAAATAAGCTAAGCTAATTTCCGTAGGAGGGTTTGAAATCCAAGGCTCCCATTCTGCGTATCTCACTGGCATAAAGAATACTCACAAGTCTAAACTCACCCCTCAGAGAGAAGCACCTTCTCCCCAATCTCAAATGGGCAGTAGTTTATTTTTACCTACATGGGATTCTCCTAACTATGTGTGTCTATCTTAACTTCCAACTACACGAAAAACTCTGTCAGGCCAAAGATCACATCTTTCACACTTATCTCTAGATTCCTAGAACATCTATAAAAAGAGTTGGTTAACATCTAGACATTTTTTTTTTCCAAATCAATAGGTTTTTTTATTGCATCATTTAAATATCACAAGTAGGTCTTAGGAATCATCCGACATCTTGTTTCTGTAGCTGGACAACACTTAGATCTTATTCATCAGCCAACAATCTAGACACTTACTTCTTCAGAGGGGTAGCATATTTTTTTAATTTGGAAAAATGCCTCATTTTATTCTATGGAAAGCTCTTCTCATTATTATAAGGACTTACATGAAGTTCTCCTTCAAGAAATTAAATAGTTTTCATCACCACCAAAATATTCCACCACTAGAATGAACGAAATACATGATAAAACTATGTGGCATACCAAAGATCTGTTGAACTTGCTATAACTGTTTTCAAGGGCACTTCTAAGGCCATCATTACTGTCATGTAGCTTCCGGTTAGCTGTTCTGCAGAGTAAAGAAACAAGCAGAAAGAGAGACAAGGAAAGTATCGGTGGGGGTCAGTGTCACCACTTTCTTTACTGGCTGTAACATTTAGAATGTGGAATAATGTATCATCTTCTTCAGCTTTCCACCACTTCCCTTCAAACCTCATAAACTGAGATCATTCATTACTCAAAGCACATGAACTTAATTGATTACTCATCTCTCTTTAAAGGTCTCAGGGCCTTGTAGGAGTGAACTGCTATGCTGTGGAACTCACTCTTCCTTCAGGTAGCCCCGCTGATTGAACAGATTCCATGCAAGTCTTCAAAAGCTCTCTAAATGCCTGAACCTACGCAGCCAGTTCCCGCATCTCAGAGTTCGGGGACGAACGCCGTGTGTTATATCAGGCTTCATGCTCCTGGCAGCTCCTGCATTCTATGCATGGCCTGGCACCATTCCACCAGGCACCATCATGTAGCAGGTAGATATTTGGATAATGATCTCTGTCAGATCTGGGTTCAAATCCCAACTCTTATTTCCATATGACTTAACAGAAGTCATTTAAGTTGTCAGAACTCCAGTGGCCTCCTGTATAGCACAGCTAGGATTCCACAGCTCCTACCCCACAGAGCGGCTAAGCTTCCCCAGCTTAAGGCTGATTCACCCTTTTTGCATCTTAGCTCAATCCTCACTTCCTCCGGAACACTTCTTTGACCTTCTTTGATAGGCCAAAGCTTCCCTTAGGGGACACGTACCTTTCTTTCGATGCAGCTCTCTCATTAGGCCTTTTATATTTATTTCTATAATTACTGATCCATTTCTGTCTTCTTCCCCTAGACTAGCCCCATAAGGAGGAAAGAGATATTTCACCCACTCCCCACTCTATCCTTGGCTCCTGCCATACCTGGCCTGTCAGAGGTGCTAACAAATCTGTTGAATGAATGAATAAATGAATGAATACAAAAACTCAAAGGATTAGTGAAATAAATGAACTCTACAACTGCCACAGGTGAGACTTAATAAGCATTCAAAAATGGTGAAAAAAAAAAAAAAAAAAGGTCAAACCTGACCTGACTTCATTTGGAGGAACTGAAACCAACGACAATATGGCATTGGCGGAAAAGAAAAAAAGGGGAAAGAGAGAGGTAGGTTTTGTGGGGAGGAGCCTCAGAGGACGGAACAGCTGCAACCTAGTTGTAAAGCTGACAGAATGCGTATATTTCTACCTGGGGAGGAGAAAAAACCTAAGAAAAATATACTTCTAAGTAAACACAACAAACAGAAAGAATGATTGTGGAGACAGAGCCTTGTGGCTGCACTAAGAGAAGCAGCCTGAAAAACTCGCAGTATAGAGCCCAGAAAAAGCTAAGCGCTCAAGGCCGTTCCTCTTTATGGAGGCATAATACAGACACGCTGGACATAGCCTCTGAATTCCAAAGATGTTTAGCGATTTATACTGTATTCCCCACATCTGGATTATTTAGGATTATAAGAATCAGAAAGCTAAGCAGAGATGCCGAGTGCACATCCTGAGAAGAAACACACGCTGACCTGCAAACCTCATCTTCAGAACATGGCAACTCATGTCATATGTGTTATCTCTTTTATTAACAAAAAATAAGTGAAATGTAAATGTAATGAGCATTTGATATGAGAACTTACTGGAGTATTTCAATTTGCCTCTCAAGACTATTTCGATCTTCTGTGTATTCTCGGATTATTTCCAGATCCCTGTAAAATTACATTTTATGTTTGAGTGAGAATTAGGTGTTAAGTCCTGCCTCACCTATACCTACCCTCCTGGCCTCTTTTCCACCTTTTTCAAAGACAAGTGTCCTTGACCATGGTTTTCGACAGTTCCTGTGTTCCTCCTCTGGACCTCTGTGGCCTTAGCAGCCTCCTCTCCTTCTGCGACTCCACAAACACACTCACATTCTATGCTTTCTTCTGTGAGGCTCTGCCCTGCCTCTGACATCACAAGTCTAGAGCTTCTCCTCCTCAGCCCATCATGGCATCCACCAGCTCTTCCATCCCCACCCTCGCTGATCCAGCTTTGTTCTCCATGGGGACTGAAACTCCCAAGTCCCCTCTCTCCTAGGGGCGTCTCAGAAACTGTGCCTGCTGAAACTTCCCTGCTCATTCAAAGCTTTATATAATCCTGACTCCTTCTATTTTCTTCTTTTCTGTGATTCCTTCCCCTTTCCATGTCTCACCCTATTCCTGCTCTCCCTCCTCTCCTTACCCTAAACCACAGAGATCCCCAAAGAACCAGGCTTGCTAAGCTCACTAGGCACTCACCCTGTGGCAATTCCTCTGTTGCTTTATGATGGAAGCTCTGGCTTTTTCCCCAAACTGTACTCAGAGCACCCTTGCCTCCAGCGCCTATCCCTCTAAGCACACAAACCTCATCACTAGCTTCCCAAAACACAGAGGCTGTCAAGTTTTGTCCACAGTAACTTGTCCATTTGCTCCCTGGATGATAAAAGTAAACACTTCCTAATTGTCTACAGGAACTGAAGTTCCTTAACCCAAAATTTGGGGCCCCTCTATTATAACCTTAAACCAGCTTTTAAATTAAAATTTTTTTTTTAAGTTTTGCTTTTCTATTTTAAATATTGGGTATATACCCAAAGGATAATAAAAATTCTACTATAAAGATACATGCACATGTATGTTTATTGCAGCACCGTTTACGATAGCAAAAACTTGGAACCAACCCAAATGCCCAAAGATAGACCGGATAAGGAAAATGTGGCACATATACACCATGGAATACTATGCAGCCATAAAAAATGATGAATTCATGTCCTTTGCTGGGACATGGCTGAAGCTGGAAACCATCATTCTCAGTGAACTGACACAAGAACAGAAAGCCAAATACCACATGTTCTCACTCATAGGTGGGTGTTGAACAATGAGAACACATGGACACAGGGAGGGGAACATCACACACTGGGGCCTATTGGGGGTGGGAGGAATAGGGGAGGGATAGAGGATGGGGGGATTAGGGAGGGATAACATTAGGAGAAATACCTAACATAGATGATGGGGGTATGGAGGCACATGTATACCTATGTAACAAACCTGCATGTTCTGCACATGCACCCTAGAACTTAAAGTATAATTTAAAAGAAAAAAAAAGAAAATGTCTCTTTTGCCCTGTGGTCTCACCTTTCCCTAAGCCCTATCCTTCCCTATGGTCTGGCCCCTGCTTTGGTTACTTCCTCACCTGGAACATCTCTGAGACTCTCTTTTCCCATCTGTAAAATGGACATAATCAAAGTCCCTGTCTTATTGGGTGTTCTGTGGACTGGATCAGTTAATGCTTGTGAAGGACCAGGACAGTGCCTGGCAGGCAGCAGTGACACCTGCTCCAAGTTGCTGATGTCACCATCCTGGCTGCCTCTTCCCCCTTTCCCAGCACAGAGCTATCTTTCCACCTAGACTCCTCTCCAGCAGCACCTCTTTAATACAGTTCTTCACCTTTTCTGAACTAAAACAAAACCTCTTCTGTGATAACACAGCAATTAACCCAAACCATGATTATGTTCTTGGTACTACTTCTAATAGTTTTTAGCTCCTCTGTCATTAAATCCTATAATCTTTTTGCTTTTTTCCCTAACTAAATTCACATAATATATACTATACATATTATGTAATATACATTATATGTAAATAGGTAATATATATATATTTTATATATTTATATATAATATATAAATTATTATATATTATTTGGGTTATAATATATAATAATATATGATATATATTATTTTTTATATATATTAAAACATATATATATAATATATATTTCTACATGGGAAGAAGACAGAGTGGGTGTATTTCTACTTGAGAGAAGAAAAAAATCATATTATATATAACATAATATATAATAATATATAATTAATATAATATATACTATAAATATAATATATATTATATCATATATTATATATTAATATATAAAATATACTATATATTATATATGTAATATATACATATATAAATACATATCTATCTATATACATATATATACACACACTCTCCACTCACAACTCTTTATCTAGTTTAGAGATTGTATGTAGTAATAAATATTTCACTGTTTTCTCTTATAAGACCTTAATTTTGATTAAAGTTTACAAACAAACCCAAAAAAGATATTTTTCCCAAGTGTGCATGTCCTAGGGGATACACACATATACACATATCTATGCATTTTATATTTACCAGCCATATAAAAATATACATGTCTATGTTCCTTATATATAAATACATGTCTGTGAGTGTATGTGTGTGTATTAGGTCTTATGGTATTAACACAATACTGCAAAACTAACACCCACAAAAATAGACTTGTCTACTTTTCCTTTTCTTATGTTTTACGGCCAGGATTCCTGACTTCAAAGCACTTAATAAGTACTGACCCTTGGCACTGTAAGTATGTTCTTTTAGCTCCCAGTTAATTCAAACATTTATTAAGCCTTGCACTAGCCTAAGCAGACAATAATTAATTATTCTGTTTGCTCTAAAAAATTAAAAACATAAAAAACACTAAGAAATCTGATATTGAAAATAAAATCATTAGAAAGTAAGAAAGATATTAGGAAAGTTACTCTTTCTTATTCCATAGCTGAGTTTCTTTTGCCTGATCATCTCAACATTCTACTCAAACTAACAAATAAAATGTAAAGTTCATACCTTTCAGTATTCAGACTCTGATCAGCATAATCACTTTTCAAAGCATCTAATTCACTCTGAAGAAAGGCTATGTTTGTCTGTGCTTCTAAAAGGTCTTTCTTAACTTTCTGATTTTCCTGGAAAAGAGGAAAAATGGAGGTCATTAGATTCAGATTTTCCTCTGCCTGGGAGAAATGAAGTAAAGTGTCCTGCCATGCTCCACACCACTCCCATACTTCCACAACTCTTCAAATCTCAGTGTTCAAAGAACTATTTGTCAATTCAAGGTAATTTGAGATCATTATAAATTAATAAAGTATCAGAAATCTAAATCCTCAAAGTTCTTCATTTTTTACGCTTGATATCGGATGCCAAACTACAACAGTCAAGAGTTTATCATGATGTATTTCAACACAGTATTGGCAAATTAAACTGACAACAAACATTTGAATTTCTGCTTTATTTAATGAGAACTATAAAATTATTGATAAATATTTTGTGGAATCAATAGTACCTATTACCAGATACACTGGCTACTTTTTACAACTAAATTCTATCAATATTTTAAGTTTTGCACTTAAAACAGTACGATTAGAAAATCTCTATATTTTCTTAAAACAATATTGGAAACATCCCTTCAAGATGATGGACGGAGTACATGAATTTGTCTTTTTTCCCTCTCAAAACCTCATTAAAATGAAATGCCAAAGGAAATGAACCAATTACAATTACAAGAATGGAAAAGGGACCCACAGCATTCAAGTGACTTAAACACACTTCTGGAAAATGGAAACTAATCAAAATGTTCTCCCAAAAAGAAGAGTGTGGGGAAATGGAAGTCTAGAGGAAGTGTGTTCAAGGTTTTGACACAGAACCCAGAAGGAGACAAGTGGTCAGGCTGAACCCCAGAAAGACAGAACCAGATATGGGGTTGGAAGGAGTGACGAAAACTGTATAATAAGGCACCCCTCCCACCAAGCCCATCCCATCTTTCCCTAACAAGTAACAGAAGAGAGCCAGAGTGGATTCCAAAGACAAAACAGAGGTTATCTTTTTAAAACTGAGTGGCTCCTTTAAGAAAAGCTAAGGCTTCTCTCTGAATATCCCTGCCCCGCTCATGGTGGTCCCAACTGGGGTCCCTTGCCAGCTTCACACACAGAGCTCCTATGAAGACATTCTCTAGGGAGAGAGGCCTTGAGGTGAGCAGATCTGTTCACACAGTCCCACAGGACTCCTACGCCAGCTACAAGTGACCAAGCTAGTCCTTCACTTTAAAACATGAACAGATCACCAAGAACTGCCAGGTATTTGGGGAAAAAAAAAAAAAAAAAAAAAAAAAAGGTACCTTGAAAGAATTAAATTAGTAAGTCCTGGAAAATTCTATTTATTTAAACAAACTTAATAAATCGTGAGGGGGAATGCAGACACTCTCAAACATTCCAAAACAGAAAATTTCTCCCTCACATAATCGTTCTGAAAAAGTTTCTTAGGATGTGCTATGGCAAAATGAGAATAAAACCCTCTTCCCAACAAAAAAATTGTAATATGCAAAATGCTGCAATTCAATGAAAGGCCCAGTGAAAAATTGCAGAACATATGGGTAGCAAGTTTGAAAAACAATCAGTCTAATCAGAACTGAAATTTTATAGACTCCCAAATTAGTATCTTCAAGGAGAAAAGCTAAATAAATTTCATGCATTGGAAAGAATAAAGGGGTCTTAAGGTATCAGTGATATCATGAAAATGGTAGAGTTTCTTTTTGCAACAAGAAACCAAAAATTGAACCAGAAAATCCAAGAAAGGCAAATAACTCTATTAAGAATATCATTACCCAAATGGAAAGCCAACTAAGATGTGGAAAAATTTGGAACTACAAATTCATTTGACCATGAAGCTGGGAACCTTCTTTTAAGTGAAGGAGAGATGATGAACGGAGAGAAAGAAATGCAAGCCTCACTCATTTCTTAGCTCTGCAGTGAAAACATAGAATCATACTAAAGAAAATGCTCTTTATTTGCTTTCAAATTTGGGAGTTAATCTAAAATCAAAATAAATAAAATTTAGCAAAGATAACAGAAAGAGATGTAAAGCTTATCAATGTTGTTAGTACTAAAATAAAGATGGGCTGGCGTAAGATGGAAAAGGGACAGAAAAGAAAAAACTTGGAGGAAGGGGCAAGGCATTAAAATCCTCATCACAAAGCCAGGGATACAGACCAGAGCTGATGCTTGAAGAATACAGGGTTAACTATGTTATAAGATTTAAGCATTATGCCTTTACTACTTTGTATGAAAAATAAGTAAAAAGCTTTTACAGTAAGTGGCATATTATCAAGGGAAAAAGCCTGCATAAATAGTATCTTTGATCAAAGGTATTTTAAGGAATTTTTCTAACTATAGTTATTAATTTCTCTTTAAGCTGCTCTTCCTGGAACACTAAAATAAGAGCATGACTATGTAGTCTAACAGGAAGTGCATTTCTGTAAGTAAAAAGGTAATTCTTACCATTGATAAATCATAAATTTGTTTTTTCAGTGCAGCCACATCTTCCCTTTGACTTATGTGTTTTGACTGTTCTTCAAGCTGAAAGAGCAAATAAAAGTTGTGTGCTTACAAACTCACTCTGAATTGCTTTGGTTAAGTTTGGGACTATCCCTGAATATACATATGACAATTCTAGAAGCCATCAGTTTTCAACATTATGTGACTTTATAAATCATTAAACTACATAAAATCCATAAGGATTTGGAATTTTGTTCTAAATAATTTAAACATTTGAAAAAGGGGTTTCATTATGAAATGAACTTTCTTGGAAACAACTGAAAAGCCCTTTCTGAAAACCATTCAACTACTAAGCAATCAAATTCTTGCTTTTTTAAGTTATGCTACATTGGAATCTGGATCTTTCTATTCTCCTTTGTATTATCTGCATTTAACACTTTCCATTCTGCATATAATTATGTAGAAATGTCTTACCTTCCCTCCTTAAAGATTTTTTTAAGAGCAGAGTTAGTGTCAGATGCATCTATGTTTTCTTCATGGTGAGTTCAATAAATGCTTATTAAATAACTAAAATCAATAAAATCTGAGTGGTGGGATCTATGTCGCCCATGCTGGTCTTGACCACCTGAGCACAAGCAATCCTCCTGCCTTAGCCTTCCAAAGTACTGGAATTATAGGCATGTGCCACCATGCCCAGCAAGGATACTTCTTTTTTAGTTATCCATTTTCATTTTAGCTAGGACATTCCCATTAGTTATGGGAAAAACAAAAACAGATGCAAGAAATGTGTCTAGTACAGTGCTGGAGCCAGCCTGTACTGGCAGGTGAAAGTCTACTTTAACCATCTCTTCTCAACCTTAAATTCAGTGATATCAGCTTGATAGCATGAAATCAGTAATGGCAGGAGTATTTATACCACAGAAATCGACAAATGATAACACACCCTCCTCTCCCCTCCACTGCCTACAGAGCACCTGCTAAACAACTGCCAGAGCATTACTGAGTAAAACAGAACCTGCTCACTACAAACCAACAGAGAAAAAGCCAAAACCCAACCACATTAAAAAAAAACAAAACAAACAAACAAAAAAACTAATCACAACTTTGCTCACACTCAAGTTCTGGTTCTCTTCAAAAATTGGTGACTCGTGGCAATCAGGGTACCCTAGATCTGAAATTTTCTACTTAGAAGAGCAATATTCATTTCATTTAATAAATATTCCCTGAATACTTACCATGCACTTTGCAATAAGCTAGGGGTAGGGACCTGGGGATGCTTGACATGACCGAGAAAAACAGTCATGAAGCATGCAGTCCACTAGACATAGGAACTTGAGAGTGCTGAGCTGGTGAAGACCAAGGAAAGAAAAACTAAAGTTTTATGGACAACGGTTGACGGGATCAGAAATATTTATTAGATCTGTGCAAAAGACAGGTGGCCCTTGGAAACAGAAGAGGAAATCGAGGGCCCTTAAAAGAAGGTCTTTCAGGCTGGGTGCAGTGGCTCATACCTGTAATCCCAGCACTGTGGGAAGCAGATCACCAGAGGTCAGGAGTTCCAGTCGAACCTGGCCAACATGGTGAAACCCTGTCTCTACTAAAAGTCGAAAAATTAGCCAGGTGTGGTGGTGTGTACCTGTAATCCTCAGCTACTCAGGAGGCTGAGACAGGAGAATTGCTTGAACCCAGGAGGCAGAGGTTGCAGCAAGCCAAGATCGTGCCACTGCACTCCGGCCTGGGTGACAGAGCGAGACTCAGTTTCAAAAATAAAGGTCATTCCAAGAAGTTCCTTGATTCTGAAATCTGATCTATCTGCCAAATGTTTTTGGTTGTTAATAGCTTAGGTACACTTAGACGCTGAGGCCGTTCCTGAAGTCCAGGTGCCACATGCCTACCTTTCTCAGCTTTTTAATGGTCACCTGCAGATCTCCTACTTCCGTTTCATACTGACGTCTGAGATCACTAAGGGCTTCCTCAGCTTTGCGTTTTTCCTAAAAGAAAAAAAAAAGATTTTGTTCATTTAAATAGGTTCGCCCTCTTAAACAACCTTTAAAACCCGACAGGTGAGAAATATTTTGTGTCAAATTAAGGCTGACCTCAGTTCTCCTATACAGGGAGGGTGAGAAGGGATATTGGAAGGAAACCAGTGACTTCAAATGTACAGCAGTTTTGGAATTGAAACCTACAAAACCAAAGTGCAGAATCCCACACCTACATACACACCTCACCCGGGAGTGACACTTCTAAGACTATTACTCACATTGTGATAGAGGCCGTAGCACATCAATCAATTCATTATTGCTATAATTAGTTACAAGACATGGCACGGTGAAGGACTGCCATGCTTGCTGGAATCCTATCATATCGTCAGGACTCACCGAGGCAACCCAGGTGCACCCTTTTCCCTAGAACTGATGCCTTATCTAAATCTCAATCACATCACTGCAAATTTCTATGCAAAGTGCTTCCCTGTGGGCCGGTACTTCTCAGAGGTGTTCCTTCCAGTTCTTCTGGAGCAGAGAATGGCATTAAGGTACTCCAGGAGGTTAAGGGACTGCTATTCGGAAGCAGCTCCCATGGGCTTAAACATGTTTAAATTTCCTTTTCTCTTAATAAATTATATAATTTTATATCCTACATTCAGTATTCAAATAGTTTTATGTTGCTAACCAGTAAAATTCAGTGTACAAATATTCGCTGATCACCTACCAAAGGTTCTAGGCACTGGGGACATGGGGACAGAGTGGGACAATAAAACTGATGTTCTCATGCATTCTAGTGGAGGAGACAGAAAAAAAGACAATTTCAGGAAATTATAACAAAAAAAAAAAAAGAAAAAACAGGGAGATGTGACGGGAAATCAGTCTGCTAGAGGGTAAGCTAGGGCCTCTCTGCATCATGCTCCCACATCTGAATACCTGTCAGAGGTAGCGCGTCTTACTGCCTACTCATTGGCTGTGGAGACTGAGCAAGTTGCTAAACTTATCCACACCTCCATTTTCTTTTTTACCTATTGTGAGGATTAAATTAAATAATCCAAGTTAAATAATCCATATAAATTAAATAATCCATGTGAAATGCTTAGGAGAAGAGCAACATCTACCCTTATGGTCACTTTTTAAAAAGGGGCTATCTTGACTTCATCCAGCTTCATAGGTGAAGCAGCAAGTATTGCCTGCCTCACAAGTGGATGAAGACACAGAAGCCTCACAATGAGATGCTAATGAGGCAGCCTTCCCGGAGTCAGAAATGGACTTGACTGCAAGTCTCTTCATCAGGTCAACAGCCACAAACCCAAACATAAACATTTTACGGTTTAAAAATACTTTATCCAGAGCTCCATAAAGGAAATGATCACTAGCCTATTTCATTCCCAACCTGTGACAGCTAGATAGATGTTGATAGATCAGATAAGAAATTGTTACAGTAATGCAGGTGAGAAATGGTAGTAGTTCAGATCAACTCTTCACAAACTTCCAGCAAACTGGAATGGAGAGAATACGTCCCAACTCATTCTATGAGACCAGAATTTCCCAGTCGCTAAAATCAGACAAAGGGGTTAAAAGTACAAACCACTATCTCTTCTGCATATAAATGCAAAAATAAGTAAAATTCAGCAATCTATAAAAAGGGTAGCCCGGCGTGGTGGCTCAAGCCTGTAATCCCAGCACTTTGGGAGGCTGAAGCGGGTGGATCACGAGGTCAAGAGATCGAGACCATCCTGGTCAACATGGTGAAACCCCGTCTCTACTAAAAATACAAAAAATTAGCTGGGCATGGTGGCACGTGCCTGTAATCCCAGCTACTCAGGAGGCTGAGGCAGGAGAATTGCCTGAACCCAGGAGGCAGAGGTGGCAGTGAGCTGAGATCGCGCCATTGCACTCCAGCCTGGGTAACAAGATCGAAACTCCGTCTCAAAAAAAAAAAAAAAAAAAAAAAAGGGTAATACGTTAAAACTAATTAGGGCCTATCTCACATGCAAGTTTGTTTTAATATTCAAAAAATCAATCAATGTAATTCACCACATTAACATTCTAAAAGAGAAAAAATATAACCATAAGTAATGACAGAAAAAGTATTTGACAAAATCCAACATCCATTCCTGATTAAAATAACAGCAACAATAATAATATTCAGCAAACTAGGAACAGAAGGAACCCTACTCCACTTAATAAAGGCATCCATAGATGCCACTAACATCACATTCAATGTTCTCATCTCCTTTATTCTTCTAACCAGTACAATAAGGCAAGAAAAATTAAAAGCATCATCGGAATCAGAAAGACAAATAAAACTGTTTTTAGTCATATGTTTCATAATTATCACCCTGGAAAATCTGACAAAATCTACTAACAAAAAGACACTATGTATAAACAATGTAAGTAATGTTACAGAATTCAAGACCAACCAATACTCAAAAATCAAATGTATTCCTATACATTCACAATGAACAATCAGAAATTAAAATTTTTAGAAATACTATTTATAGTTTCATCAAAATATGACATATTAAGAGTAAATCTAAGATGTACAAGATCTTTACATTGAATAACACTAAACAGTGCTGAAAGAAGACATAAATAAATGGAGAGATAAATCATATTTTCAATATTGTTAAGATGTCAATTCTCCCCAAATTGATCTATATATGTAACAAAGTTCAGTCAAACTCCCTGCAGACTTTTAGTTTTTTGTTTGCTTTTTTTTTTTTTTTAAAGAAATTGACAGGCTGATTCTATGGAAATTAAAGCAATTAACATAGCCAAAAAAACTTTTTAAAAGTACAGTTTTAGAACCAATACTATTTGGTTGCAAGACTTATTATAAACCAATAGGTATCAAGGCAACGTATTATTAGCATAATGATAGACAAATCAATGGAATAGAACAGAGAGCCCAGAAATAAACCCACACAAATAGAGAAAACTGATTTTGGATAAAGCGCAGAGGCAATTCAGTGGAAAATGGTTAGTTTTCTGTTTAATAAAGGTGCAGGAACAATTGGATATCTACATGCAAAAAATATAAACACTGATCCATATCTTGGCACCAAATACAAAATGGATCCTAAATGTAACCTAAAACAATAAAACACACAGAAGATAACATGGGGGAAAATCTTTGTGAGATTGGGTTAAAGATTTTTAAATACTACATGAAAAGTATGGTCCATGAAAAAAATTGATAAATTATAATTCATCAAAATTAATAAGTTATACTTAAAGATACAGTTAAGAGAATAAAAAGACAGGTCACAGTGTAGGGGAAAGTATTTGTAGATCAGGTATCTGATAAAAGACTTGCATTCAGAATATATAAAGAACTCTCAAAACACAGTAATTTAAAGAAAAGTGTACTTTTATTGAGTCAAAGATTTTAACAAGATACTTCAGCAAAAAAAAAAAAAAAAAAAAAAAGTATACACATGGCAAATGAACCCATGAAAAGATCCTCCACACAACTAGTCATTAGAGAGATGCAAGTTAAAACCACAGTGAGATTCCTCTACACATCGATTAGGAGGCTAAAAGAACAGGATTATCATACACTGCTGATTGAAACATACAACTGTACAACCACTCTGGAAATCATGTTGGCAATGATTTATAAAAATACACATTCATCTACACAGATGATCAACCCATTCCACTCCAGGAATTCACTCAAGAGGAATAAAGTATATGTCTATGTAAAGATGTGCCTATGTATATTCATAGCACCTTAATTTGCAATAACTAAAAACTGGAAATAACTCAAATGTCCTTCAACAGATGAATGGCTAAACACTGTGGTACCCCTATATAATGGAATACTACTCAGCAATGAACAAGAAAAAACTACTGATTACATGAATAAGTCTCAAAATAATTACGCAGTGTGGAAGAAGCCAGACAAGAAATAGTAATATATACTGCATGATTCCATTTCTCTACAGTTCTGAAAACTTCAAACTAATCTGCAGTGACAGAAGATAAAACAATGATTGCCTGGCAGAAAGGGCCAAAAAAAAAAAAAAGAGGAGGAAGGAATGCTTGTTATACCTTCAAGGGGCATGAAGAAACTTCGAGTGGATAGTTATGCCCATGATCTTGCCTATGGGAATGGTTCCATGGTGTATACATATGTCCAAACTTCACATATTCTGTACTTTATGTGCAGTTTATTGCACACCAATTATACCTCCATAAAGCTGTTACAGTTTAAAAAAAAAAAAACTGAAAAAACGCAATATATGCTGTATTATGCCATGGTAGTCAAGGTCCGGAAGAGGTAAATGTGGCTAGAGGAGCAGGGGAGGGCATGAAGAAGAAAGTGAGGATTCCTCTGAGCTTTGCAGAATTTAGGAAGGAGGAAAGGAGTGAGGAGCCCATCATCAAGGCAAAGAAAACAGCTGGAGCCAAAGCAGAGTTATACACAGCAAGACCACTGGGCCAGAGCTGGGGGTGAAGAATCTGGGGGAGCTGAGGGGAGCTGTGTGAAATGGAAGGAAATTAGGGAAAATCTTAGACCGGCCTGGGCATGTTAGTCCATAGAAGTTGTGTTTAGAAAGGTGTGAGGTGGACACGGATGGGCAGGCAAACAAGGTTCCTCACAGTGCCACAGAGAGGTCCTGGACTGGCATGCTGAGGTTTGGAGACCGCATGTAGATGTAATGACTGACGGGCCACATGTGTCACTGCTGTGGGATAGAGAAATGATGCCGTGGATGCACAGGTTTGTCCCCTCTGGACTGAAGCCAAGGAAACTAAAGAAGATGTTGTCACTAACAAAACATGAAGTTATAAAAGGTGGGGGCCATGGTAATATCCCCATTACCAACAACCAATTTGGGAGGCAGTTACCTGGAAGAAGCAATGAGCTATGATGACAGAATAACACATGTGCTTGATAAGTGTTTGCTGAATGAATGAGTGCACAGATTAAACGCAATAGATGGGAGAGGAAAAAAGGCATAAAAATGATTTTACTCTTCCCTTTTTACAAAAAGTACTAACAGAATAAGGGGTTATCCATTGCTTTGAAGCTGGACCATGAACCTTAAGCCATTTATGTGGCTGAATATGACATCCAGCTTCCATTTAAACTTTTTATGAAGAGACAGGATGATAAAGACACCCCAGAGCATATGTGTGGTAAAGCCATTTAAGGCAAAGAATCTAAAAGGAATCAAGAATACACAGAGCCACAGGAAAGAGCAGGACAGTAAGAACCAGGCTGCAGCCACCACATCACAGGCACTGTACCAGGCACTTTATATAGATCACCATGTTTAACCCTGTGAAGGCACGTAGATTGCATCATCCCATTTTAGAGATGGAATAACAAAGGCTCAGAGGTTGGGTTATTTTCCTAATGCCACCTAGATAAGATCAGGGCCTGGAGGTAAACGAAGGTCTCCCAGATGCCGACGTTCAGGCCACTTGCACATTATTTTGCTGCCACTCAGTGTTAACAGGCAAATGAATAAACAAAAGTGGAATTTTCAACCTAACACTGTCTATTTTCTGTTAAACAGTAATCACCCACAAATATTTTATAAGAAAAAATTCTTTCTTCAATGGAAATCACTGAAGGTAACATGTAACTTTCAACAAAGGGTTCCTATAATGCTGAATAAAGGTAAACAGTCAGCCCTTCATGTCCACAGGTTCTGTATTTGCTAATTCAACCACTGAAGACTGAAAACATTTTAAAAAGCAGTAAGAGTGATGCAGATAAACATACAGTATAACACATATTTACAAAGCATTTATATTATATTAAATATTAGGTATTATAAGTAATCCAGAGATGATTTAAAGTATGCTGGAGGATATGTGCCGGTTGTACGTAAATATACATCATTTGTATAAAAACTTGAGCATTTTGGTATGTGGGGTTGTGGGGGTCCCGGAACCAATCCCCTGTGGGTACCAAGTGATGACTATATTCCATTATAAAACACCAAAGTTTGAAGACAGAATTTTAATTTCACTCTAATCTAGACTTAAAGTGGGCAGTGGGTGTGGGCAGTGAAACAGGTATGGAATGTCAAGCCACCTTTTCTACAAAGGCTGGCTCTGCCTTCTCCCAAGGCCTCGTCTCTGATGTTACCAATTCAAAGAGGCCTCTAGTCCCCAAACTAAGCAGCCTCCTCTCCCAGTCACTATCACACAGGTTGTTTCTTTATGGCAGTTTTCACTATCTGAACTTATATGCTTTGCTTGTTTATTTGATTATTATTTCTATTTCTTCTTACCCATCCCCCAGAGAACACCACCAGTAAAAATTCCTTTACTGGGAGCCTCTGTGAGAATCTGGACTTGCTGTACCCAAGTGTGACACCCAGAAGAGTGCCTGGGCCCTCTCTATAGAAAGCACTTCACAAAGATCTGCTGAATAATGGTCAGTCCCAGAAACTCACATCTTTCCGTGTCTTATGTTCCGCAGCCTGAATCCTCTGATCCATTTCCTCTTCCAACTCACTCAACTGCATAGCTGCCTTGTCCTGGGCTCTGAAATTCAAAAGGATGCACGTCTTTTCATTATACTCTTGAACGTGAAACATGAAGAGAAACTTCAGAGTTATCAATTTTAAGCCCCATATATTACAGATGAAGAGAAACACACCATTCAAAATGGTATTCCCCATTCCTTCTACATAATAAAATGAGATTGGCGATTTTACCATTTTGGTGTAAAATGATTTTGAAACTAGATACAGTCATGCATTGCTTAACAACTAGTATACATTCTCAGAAACGTGTCTTTAGGAGACTTTTGTCATTTTGTAAGTATCATAGAGAGTATTTACGCCAACCTAGCTATTAGAGCCTACTATACACCTAGGCTATGTGGTATAGCCTATTGCTCCTAGGCTGCAAACCTGTACAGCATGGGATTGTACTCCATACTGGAAGTAACTGTAACACAATGGTCAGTATTTGTGTTACAGTTAATTCCAGTATAATTTCAGATCCAGTATGATCTTACAGAATAGATACAGTAAAAATTTACAGTTATATTCTTATGGGACCACTGTCATTGACCAAAACATCTTGATGCAGTACATGATTATATTAAATAGATGAATAAATTGGATAAAGTGACATTAAACTAGACTGTGGCAAAGAATAAAGATATCCAGGGCTGAGAATTTGCTCTCATGACTGAGTTACAAACCTGGATTTAAAAAAACTCCATGACAAAATGATGTTTAGATATAATTCTGAAATTTCCCTATATAAAACTCATAATGTTATATGTTGAAGTCAGAAGGGAAAAAAAGATCTCAATCATTATTTCTTATCTGTCCCCTAAAGTTCTAGAATGTAGGTAAGGTTACCTTTTAGAAAAATTCTGTTTCTGTTATGAATACAATGATAAATCACATCTCAATGGAGGCAGAGCACATTGATTTGCATCTAAACCATTAGCTTTAGAGGTGATTCATCTGGACAAATGACATGCTATTCGTAAATGATAGGGCTTAAATATAAGATTTTCTGTCTTCTAGTTCGATGGGTCTCTGCTATAGCGACCTACCTGCTTTCGACTTACTACTCCCTCACAACACAGTTTATTCATGTGTTAGTCCAACTACCACATAAAATTCCAAGGAAATATTGTGGGGGCGGGGAAGACCCCAAAGTAAAATTTTCAGTAACAGTATTATCTTCTGTTCCTATTTACTTCTTCCTCATCTTATAGCCTATCCAAGGTTATGTTAACCAAGCTTGGAAGGTCAGTTCATTTCTGCTTATAAATACCTGCTATTTGAAGTCTAGAAATTGTGTATCTCCATAGCAATGTCTGGTAGTTATTTTGATCAACTCTGGGACGGTAAATAACTAAGCCACATATCCTTTCTCTCTGTTATCATCATTTCCCATCTACTTCTTCTAGATATCCAATCCCAAACATCTGGGACTGCTCCTGAATGGACTCTCTCTGACTTTTTCACTTCCGAGCAACATTTTTTCTTCTTTTACAAATCAGGGTGATGCATAATGACAGAGTGCTTGCCTCAGCAATTTCTAATTTGTAATGAAATGTCTGCCCACCGTGACCTAGTCTAGGACTCCCATCGGGACACTGGGAACCCGTTCTTCAGGTGCATTTCAGAGCAAAACGGCTGAAACCCTCCCCCAGTCAAAAACAGAGGTAAGGATGGATGACTAAGAATGCAAGGAATGGTTTACAAGTAGCCATTTAAACACTTCCTGAGGTCTTTGATAGCTAAGAAAGGAGACTTTAGGAGATGAGGCTCAGTGTAGAGTCTGGGTCCGGATCTCCTCAGTAGCACAGAAGGGAGTGGATGGGGACTGCAACACAGCTCAGATCAGTGTGATGTCCTCACTCCATCATGAGAAAGCAGCCTAGCTGGTACTGAGAACTTCAAGCACGCCGGTCTGTTTTTTTTTCACCGTAGGTTTACATGGTATTATCTTTAGATGGGGGGGCATGTGTATGTTTGTGTGTACCCACATATCTTTGTGTGGGTCTTAAATGTGTGCCTGTGAGTTTGTCTGTTTTAATATTTATTGGATGCTCTGAGGAATCAATGTGTGTATGTGCTTGTCACAGCTGAAAGGAGGACAACTCTGGGATTCAGATCCACACTCCAGTATGCTCTACAGAATTTGGAGCTGTAGCATTTGGAGCCCTTTATCCTATTGGAAGGCCCCTAGAAGGCTAACTTGAGACAAAAAAACATCAGCCAGGTACTGAAAATGTTCATAAGAAATCCCTTGTGAATACATCAACTTTTGCTTGACTTGTGTAAGAAAGGTCCTATTTAGTATCAAGAATTTAAAGCATTTCCTTTCCTACATTGTAATATCCTTCAGTTATTCCAAAAGTTTAACTAGATAGTTTCAGTATTATGTGGATGGGAAGGATAAAGAGACAGTGAAGTTGAAGATAGTTTGGCCTGTAGCCCTCACTTGCCCCTATGCAGACAGGGCAGCCCCCCTCTTAAATGGGCTATGTGTATAAGCTCCAGGCAGAAACCAGCAGGGTACATAGCTCCTGGTGGAGCACATGGCAGCAAGGTGCATCTGTGGGACACAACACACAATAACTGTGACAAGCACAATGCCCTCTCTTTCCCAATATATGTTAAAGGAATGCAGTTCTTCCAGAGAGCAGAGAGGCTGATGTTTGAACTGCAATACCTATAATTTCTTTTTTTTTGCATGACATAGCAGTTAACATCAATAGGATATCCTACGTAAGCTAGCTATGGCTTATGTGAATTGTAATATAGTAAGAGTTCAATAGATTTTTGGCTTTCAGTTCAGAGGCGGGTAGGGCAGGTGAGGAGGACTAGAGAGTAGAGAGAGCCAAAGCAGCACTGCTGAGCACACACCAAGTGGTGGGCAGTGTGAGGGACTCACCCATGACATCGTCCACTAAGTCTTAACACCCGGAGGACATGAAGATGTTCATCCTCATTTTGCAGATGCAGGAATTGAGACTCAGGGAGATTAAGTAACCTGCTCTCAAAGTCTGATACATGTAGGTAACAAGGCCAGGCTTCAGTGTTCTACACTTTTCCAGATAAAGATTCCTGTGTGTTTTAAGTAGCTGGATGTAAGATAAATCTCTTAATTGTTCTGTATCAATCATTGATCCTGAAGAGTTTACATACTAGGGTCATGATGACCTCCTGAGTGATTGGTAGCTGACCTACTTCTCCAGTGCTGGCTTAATTTGGAAAGCTCTAGGCTCCTGAGGCTCAGGAAGTCCACCTATATCGTAGTGTGACAATACAGTTCAGTCCATTTGCCACCCAGCTCAGAGAGCAAGTTAAACAACCCACAAGACACTTAAAAGGAAGGACTTCTATACCTCTTCACCGCAATGGCCAAATTTTCCATTTCTGTGCTTTGAAGTCTGATTTCGCGGATGAAGTTCTTTATAACATGTTCATATGGCTGAATTAGTCTCGGCTCCACAAGGTTGATGTTTTGGTACAAGGTACTAACTTGCTCTTTTCTGCCAAATAAAAAAAAAAACACAAAAATTAAGCCAATTACAAATTTTAAAAGGCAACTCTGCAGGGGACTTTTAAGAAAGAGAAACATAAATGAAGAAGTAAGGAAAGAAAAATCGGCAATCATTGAATGATAGGGTTGGATTTTTTTCGACATTAAGCGGGGGGGGCCTGTGAGGACAGCGAAAATGCACAGCAAGGGAACAATAAGGGAGGATTTTGTTGTTGTTCCTGCTGTTTTTAAAAAACTATTTAATAGATAAATTAATTTACAGCAAAACTGGGTAACATTAAATCAGTTGTTTAATTCCATGTTTCATCCACCCCTAATAAGACATGTTTCAGCCTTTATGGTCATAACAATGGGTGTATTAGTCCATTTTCACACTGCTATAAAAAAAATACCTGAGACTGGTTAATTTATTCATAAAAGAGGCTTAACTGACTCACAGTTCCACATGACTGGGAAGCCTCAGGAAACTTACAATCATGGTGGAGGAGGAGACAAGGATCTTCTTCACATGGCAACAGGAGAGAGAAGAGTGAGGTGTGAAGGAGGAAGAGCACCTCCTTAAACCATCAGATCTCCTGAGAACTCATTCTCTATCACGAGAACAGCATCGGGGAACCACCCACATAATTCAAGCACCTCCCAACAGCTCTCTTCCCAGACACACAGGGATTACAATTCAAGAAGAGATTTGAGTGGGGACACAGCCAAACCACATCAATGAATATACCTACTATGTTATGGTCAGCTAAAAATTACTTCATATAAATTCACATTTTTATATATATTTGCATTGATAGTCACAATTCTTCTGACACCAAATGTGTGGATTTTTTCTTCATACCAACCAATTCTCCAACATTTCAGATACCAACCAAGTGTCCAACAATCCAATTCCATCTGACACCACTCAGAGTTAGCACAGACCCCACAGGTTAAGGGATCAGTCCTACAAGACTGCTCCCCACTTAGATGCCAGTCACAAGTTCCAGGCTGCCAACTACACTTCTGACCAATCACCTATAAATCAGGGGTTCCTGTGACTCCCTCTTCAGATTCCATACTTTGCTTAAATGGCTCACAGAACTAAGGAAAACACTTGACTTAGGTTTACCAGTTTATCATAAGGGATATAACTCAGGATGGCCAGATGGAAGAGATGCTTTGGGCAAGGTATGGGAGCAGAGGGTGGGTGCACAGAACTTCCATGTCTCCTCTGGTAACAACATCCTACCAATACCTCAGTGTATTCACCAACCCAGAAGCTCTCCAAACCCTATTGTTTTAGGGGTTTTATGGAGATTCCACTGCACAGACCTGATAGATTACTTCACTGGCCACTGGTGATTACCTCAATCTTTAGCTTCTCTCTCTCCTCCCCAGAGGTCAGGGATGGGGCTAAAAGTTCTAACCTTCTAATCATGTCTTAGTCTTTCTGGGGACCAGCCCCCATCTTGAAGATCTAGGGGTCCCCAGCTACCAGTCTTCTCACTACCATACAAAAGACATTCATCACTCTGGAGATTCCAAGAGTTTTAGGAGCTGTACTCCAGGAAGCTGGGACAAAGACCAACTACATATTTCTTAGTGCATCACAGTATTTGCATGTTACAGTCCTCATAGTTATTATTTAAAACATTTACTAAAAGATACATGTTTTCAGAGGCATTTCAAAAGAAAAATTAACCAGATTCAGTAACTGATCTGATAGAGGATAAAGGAGCTAGTCGGTAAGGCTGGTGGTGTCCTTGACTCATAGTTTAACAGCTAATTCACTTAGCGGACTCTCTAATGATCTATGAATAATATGCCCTTTATGTGTAGTTAATGAAGTCTGTGTAACGCATCTGTTCTGGATGGATGTAATAGCCATGTGTAGACTTAATAAGCACACTATTTCCCAGCATATCCAAGTGTCTCTGGATTGATGGGCTGCATACTGGCCTCCTTGGACAGCTTCTATAAGAGACCTGCAATCTGGCCGCCTTCTTCTGATCCTGGTGGATCCCTGCTTGCTAGTATTTAACACAGGCTATGACTTGGTTGTGAGAGTAGCAGTAGTTTTTTAAAGAAAAGAAAATTTATACCAGTTGAAACAAAAAAATACAAAAAATTTTGAGAATAATCAATTCTTTGGGAATGAGATGATAACTTACCCTAATACCAACATCAAATAATTCCATCAATACTCGTTAAGTCTAGAAATGTTAGGGATAGCTAATAATTGCAAGAAAGCCAACCACTTTGACATACTGCCTGATTGAAAAATCACCTCCAATGTCTGGATAATTCTTACATTTGGTGATCTGGTTCTGTGATTTTGTAGTTACTTCACTGACAATGCACAAAGACTTCTGTCTCCTGCCCCTGACATGGAGAGATTACTCTTCTCCAGGTGCTTGTCTACTTTTGGAAACTGGGAATGCCACTCCAGGAACCAGGAAGTCTGATCAGGAGCATTTCACAACCATCTATGGTGTGACACCATAGTGATACCAAAGTGACAGCCATAGAAGACCACTCAGAAATCCTGAGCACAAAACTCAAACCCATCCACTTGATCAATGTTCCTTGAGCTTTTGCCCTATTACTCTGTTGAAGGCACTATTTTAAGATGCTATGAGGGCACAAGAAAGAGGACAATAATCCCAGGTCTCAGTAATTGAAAAGCCATGCAGAGAGCCATCTCACGACTGAAAAAGAAGACACAGTCAGATAGAATTCAATTTACAATTGCAATAAAAATACTTACATGTAGCAAGTACTCACCATATTCCAGGTAATGTGTTAGGACATGTATCTGTATCTTATCTTCAAATGCTCACAATATAATGAAGTACCTTTATTATCTCAGTACTTCAAAATGTGATTATATTTGGAAATGAGTCTTTAAAGAGGTAATTAAGTTAAAATACGGTGATTAGAGTAGGTCCTAATCCAATCTTACTGGTCACTTTATAAAAAGAGATTTGAACCCAGACACACACAGAGGGAAGATCATGTAGACATGGGAAAAGACAGCCATCTGCAAGTCAAGGAGACAGGCCCCGGAAGAAACCAACCCTGCTGATAACCTTCATTTTAGACTTCTTGCCTCCAGAACTGTGAGAAAATAAACTCCTGTTTTTTAAGCCACATAGTTTGTGATGCTTGTTACCACAAACACCTAAGAAGCCCCAGCAAACAAATACTGTATAGGGCCCATGGTAACATAGTGGCTAACTGGCAGAATAAGGATTCAAACCCAGTCTCACGCTGCAGGCAGCCTAATCAACCATAAAATCATATTGCTTCCCCGTGTGTTAAACAGCTAAACTCTGGCAGAAGAAATGGGATTCAAACACAGGCCTAGGAAACACTGCAAAACATAAGGTACATATTAACTATGAAGCTTAGTTAAGCATGGCCCCAAGGTGTGGCCAGGTGGCAGTAAAAACTGTCCCAGGTTTCTTTGTTTTGTTAACCTCCACCTCCCAAGTTCAACCGATTCTCCCACCTCAGCCTCCTGAGTAGCTGGGATTACAGGTGCCCACCACCATGCCTGGCTGATTTTTTTTTTTTCAGTTTTTAGTAGAGACTGGGTTTCATCATGTTGGCCAGGCTGGTCTCAAACTCTTGACTTCAAGTGATCCATCCGCTTCGCCCTCCCATAGTGCTGGGATTACAAGCATGAGCCATTGAGGCCAGCCCCAGATTTGCTCTTATAAACAAACTGCTTGATCTATACAGAGGCCAATCATGATTCAAAAGAATTGCTCAAGAAAAACATTATTAATAAGCCTGCAGAAGTAAGTCTATTTATTTGGTGGTATAAGACACAGAAAACTGCCATTATCTTTCCCATCAGAGCCGAATACAAATCCTGGTTGCATAGTGAGCCATATTCACTAGGGGGCAGTAAAAGAAAAATCTCTACCTTAGATTGTCCCATGTAATTTCAGTGGATCATTAACTCTTTGCCTTTGTCATTTACTGACACTAGGAAGGTGCAAAGCATAAAAACCTGCTCTTTAATAGAATTCTGCCTTTTAGGGGGTCATTAAGACACCATCACCTAGACTGGGTGTGGTGGCTCATGCCTGTAATCCCAGCACTTTGGGGAGCCCAGGTGGGTGGATCAACTGAGGCCAGGAGATCAAGACCATTTTGGCTAACATGGTGAAAACTGTCTCTGCTAAAAATACAAAAATTAGCCAGGTGTTGTGGCAAGAGCCTGTGATCCCAGCTTCTTGGGAGGCTAAATACCCATGGATTCTCAACTCAATAAACTTGGCATCATTTCTTGGTGCCAAGATAATCTTTTGTTCCCCTCCAAGAGTGTAGTAGTTACTGGCCTCTTCCGGTGTTCTAGCTTCTGACGTCAAAGGTTAAATAAGCAGAAATGACACAATGGCCACACACACAACTCTGCTTTCTTCTGGGCCTGACCCAGTTGGCACAAGTGAGGGCTGAGAAGGGTGCCTGGTAGGGACAAGGCTTGAAAGCATTTTGAATTCATGAAGGACCCAGGGCCTCATCTAAAGTAATTACACTTGCACTCACAAATACCATGCAGATCTGTTTACAGGTGTACTTGGCAAACACTAGGTAAAGCAAGATTAAGGATCAAGTCGTAAGCATTAGTCAAGACAAAAGCAGTTTCTACTTCTGTGCTGAGAGAGCAACCAATACTAAAAAATCTAATTTGTATCTGAAGATATCAAGTGAAATGCAATGAGAGAAAAATGTACTTGGAATTACCAAATTTTTAGATGTTATTTATCTTCTTTTTTTTTGAGATGGAGTCTTGCTGTGTCACCAGGCTGGAGTGCAGTGGCGCAATCTCAGCTCACTGCAACCTCTGCCTCCTGGGTTCAAGCAATTCTTCTGCCTCAGCCTCCCAAGTAGCTGGGACCACAGGCATGTGCCACCACGCCTGGCTAATTTTTTTTTTTGTATTTTTAGTAGAGACAGCGTTTCACCACATTGGCCAGGATGGTCTTGATCTCTTGA